GTCTACCCCAGAAGACTCCAACATTCGTTGAGGGCAGAAAGTTAATTTTGTTCATCTTTGCATTCCCAGGGATCTTTCCCCCTCCCCGCACCCAGGGGTCTTATACATACATAGTAGGCTATATTAGTTCTAATAAAAACAAAAAACAACAACAACAAAAAACAGAACCAATAGGATATGCAGAGATGATGAGAAATTGGCTCAGCAAAATGGAAGCGAAGTCCCACAATCTGTCTTCTGCAGGCTGAAGGCCCAGGAAAGCCAGTTTAGTTCCAAACCCAAAGGCTTGAGAATCAGGGGAGGCAATACTGTAAGTCCTAGTCTGAAGGTCTGAGGCCCAGGAGCACCAATGTCTAGGGCAGGCGTCCCCAAACTACGGCCCGCGGGCCACATGCGGCCCCCTGAGGCCATTTATCCGGCCCCCCCACTGCACTTCAGGAAGGGGCACTTCTTTCAATAGTGGTCAGTGAGAGGAGCACAGTATGTGGTGGCCCTCCAACGGTCTGAGGGACAGTGAACTGGCCCCCTGTGTAAAAAGTTTGGGGACGCCTGGTCTAGGGGCACAAAATGAATGTCCCAGCAGTTCACCCTTCCTCCCCTTTTATGTTCAGGCCTTCAATGGATTAGATGATGCCCACCCACATGGGTGAAGGCAGTCTTCTTTATTCAGTCTACTGATTCAAATGCTAGTCTCTTGAAACACCGTCACAGATCACCTAGAAATGAGCAGCTATCAGGGCATCCCTTAGCCCAGTCAAGTTGACAGATTAGCCATCACGTCAGTATCCACAACATATTTTTATATTAATGGATTTAGCCATTTATGATTTAAGAAGCTTCCATGTACAGTTTCTTATGGTATTTTGTCAATTCTGAGGCAAGCAAAAGAAATAATATCTAGCTCAATTTTCTAACTTGATTCCCATCCCACTATTTTCACTGTACTGCAATGTGAGATTAACAGTTCCACTCCAAGTATTTGAGGTGTGAGAAGCTGGATGCAACACCATTAAAAACAACTCTCTTCAGTGGCTAAGGTTGGCTGGCCTGAAATGGCAGTTTGTGGATGCTCCCCGGCACATCACACTGCCCCTTCACATTTTTAGAATTAAATCAGCTGATGGGAATATTTAATTCCAGCTAATTTTTTCCTGAGACAGAGTTTCACTCTTGTTGCCCAGGCTGGAGTGCAATGGTGTGATCTCATCTCACCACACCCTCTGCCTCTTGGGTTCAAGCAATTCTGTCTCAGCTTCTGGAGTAGCTGGGATTACAGGAATGCATCACCATGCCTGGCTAATTTTGTACTTTTAGTAGAGATGAAGTTTCTCCATGTTGATCAGGCTGATCTCAAACTCCCAACCTCAGGTGGTCCATCCACCTCGGCCTCCCAAAGTGCTATGATTACAGGCGTGAGCCAGCGTGCAAGTAATTTTCATGGTGAATGAATTCCATTCATACTGTTCTTCAGTCTGCCAAATGGATATTATATAACACATTTGTGTGCCATGATAGGGCTTACATACATTGACTCATTTAATTCTCTTAACTTTATAAAGTGGCATTAGTCCCATTTTCAAACTTCATGAAACTGAGGCACAAAAAAATTAAGACATGTTGAAGATCACACATCATCCCTCACCTGGGCTATAATAGCCTCTTAACCAATCTCTGCTTTTCCTCTTGTCCACATAACAGCCAGAGAATCTTTAAATATGTTAAGTATGTCAGGCCTCTGCTCAAACTGAGTGGTTTTTCTTGTCACACTTGAGTGTGGCCTATAGGCCCTAAGTGATCTATCCTTTGCTTATATTGTCTTCCACTCTTGTTCACAGAGCTCTAGCAATTCTCATGCTTGGAGGTCCTCAAGGTGAAACTCAGCTTTCCCATTCCCTTGGTATGGAAAGCTATTTCCCTATCTCTGCACATACTGCTTTTTTGTATCATTTGCTCTGCTTTCCTCAAAAGCCTTCCCCTCTTATCCCCATCACTGTCCTCATTTTGATTCTTCATATGCATTTATCCTTTCCTGATTTCATACTATTTACCTTTTAATGGTTTGTTTTCCCCACTAAAACTTAAGTTCCATGTGGACAAGGGCTTTGTTCAGTCCTACTTTCCTAGGTCCTACCAGTAATGGGTGAATGGATCCTTAAGGACGCTTTACCTAAGAGCTTATCTTTGTCTTTTTCTTGGTTTCAGTGGTAAGGCTTAATGGCAATTCTAAGCATGTCTTTATGATAAAAAGTTAAAAACTGTATTATTTGGATAATGTTCTTTTTATTTGTTTTACCTACAAGCCCGTAGAAGCATACTCAAAAGGTGGCAGATCAGGTAAGCTTAAGTTACGTTTACAAAACAGTAGAAATACTTTCAAATATTTACTATAGCACTGATGAACTTACTGCTGAGGACATGCACACTCTAAGAAAACTAATGATGAAATTCATAATTGGCTATGGTGGTACATGCACCCAGCTACTCGAGAGGCTGCAGGGAACTATGATCATGTCACTGCATTCCAGCCTGGGAGATAGTGAGAACTCGGCTCTTATTAAAAAAAAAAAAAAAAAAGGAAAAATAAATTGATGATGACAACTTATAATAGTCCTATCTACCAGTCTAAATGGATGCTTAAAAATTTTCATATACTGCACAGAAGTAGGTGGAATCTTAAAGCTAGGTAAAGGTAAACAAGCTAAAATAGCAGCTGGTGACTTCAGAGACCATGAAACCAAAGTTCATCTTTTAAGTCCTTTTATTGTTCTTATAAACTAGCATAAGATATAAACCTAAGTAGTACACAAGAGTTTTATAATTTACCCATCTCTGGCAGATAGCTAAGCATAGCACATCAGGGCATAACACAGTGTGAGGGAAATAAAGTATACAATGACATCTTCTATTCTGGACCTAATAATTCAAGAGAGAAATAATTTGTGGTCATTGTGGTTACAAAAGGTTTTATGGAGACAGTGAAGATAAAGTTCTGCTAACTAACAAATAGGTCTTTTGTTTCTTACAAATAGGTCTTAATGATAAAAATATGGGCCTTCAAAGAACTAAAGGTACCAATGTGTGGCAGTCCAAAAATTATGAGGAAAATGAGTTCCCTTCATGGGTCATATCAGCAATTTGTTTATTTTTTTTTTCCCTTTTGAGACAGAGTCTCACTCTGTTGCCCTGGCTGAAGTGCAGTGGCATGATCTCAGCTCACTGCAACTCCCACCTCCTGAGTTCAAGGTGCTGCAGTTCTCATGCCTCAGCCTCTGGAATAGCTGGGATTACAGGTACCCGCCACCATGGCTGGCTAATTTTTTTTTTTTAAGATGGGGTTTCACCATTATGACCAGGCTGGTCTTAAAATCCTGACCTCAGGTGATTCACCTCGGCCTCCCAAAATGCTGGGATTACAGGTGTGAGCCACCGCGCCTGGTCAATTTTTTTATTTTTAGTAGAGACAGGTTTTCACCATGTTGGCCAGGCTGGTCTGAAACTCCTGACCTCAAGTGGTCTGCTTGCTTCAGCCTCCCAAAGTGCTGTGATTATAGGCATGAGTCACTGTGCCCAGCTACGTTATCAATTCTTTTTTTTTTTTTTTGAGACGGAGTTTCGCTCCTGTTACCCAGGCTGGAGTGCAATGGCGCCATCTCGGCTCACCGCAACCTCCGCCTGCTGGGTTCAGGTAATTCTCCAGCCTCAGCCTCCTGAGGAACTGGGATTACAGGCACGCGCCACCATGCCCAGCTAATTTTTGTATTTTTAGTAGAGACGGGGCTTCACCATGTTGACCAGGATGGTCTCGATCTCTTGACCTCGTGATCCACCCGCCTTGGCCTCCCAAAGTGCTGGGATTACAGGCGTGAGCCACTGCGCCCAGCCCTCGTTATCAATTCTTAATCTATAAACCATGAATAGGCTTCAGGAGAACCCAAGAACTAATGAAATCTGTTGGTAAGTTTTATTTGTGCTGTTTTCTACAAAGAGGGTCAACAGCATATATATTTTCAAAGAAGTCTGTGGTGCAAAAGAATTTGCAAAGAGTTTATTATGTTAGAAGTCCTTGGGGAATCAACTTGGAAAACGGTGGATTGAGAATGAGGACTGTCTAGATCAGAATAATTGTTGAATCTGACCTTCACTTGGGCTTTTTGTACAGAGGAAGAGAAGATAGTAAATTTAAGGGCTAATCAGAAATTAACACCAACATGACTTGGTGATGAATGAAATGTGAAACATGAGAAAAACATCAATGATGAACTCAAGGTTCTGACTTGCAACAGTGAGTATATCAAGAGTTACAGGCTTGGAAGAGGAATAAAATGGGAAGCATTCTGGTTTTTATGAGTGTCCATGGGACGTACAGGGAGAAGTGCACAGTTGAAAATACAAGTCTAGCCAGGCACAGTGGCTCATGCTTGTAACCCTAGCACTTTGGGAGGCTGAGGTTCTAGAGACACATAGCTGGCTGGGTGTCTCATGCCTATAATCCCAGTACTTTGGCAGGCTGAAGCGGGTGGATCACCCGAGGTGAGGAGTTCAAGACCAGCCTGACCAACATGGAGGAAACCCTGTCTTGACTAAAAATACAAAATTAGCTGGGTGTCACTGCGGGCTCCTGTGATCTCAGCTATTTGGGAGGCTGAGGCAGGAGAATCACTTGAACCTGGGAGACGGAGACTGTGGTGAGCTGAGATTGCGCCATTGCACTCCTGCCTGAGCAACAAGAGTGAAACTCCGTCTCAAAAACAAACAAACAAAAAAACCCAAAACAAAAGAAAACAAGAGACACATAGCTGGGCATCAGTAACACTAGTTTTAGCTGAGGGAGTTAAGATGATTTAATCAGTATCAAGGAAGAAACTCAATAGCAGAAACCATCAATACTTAAGGAACAAGGTGAAATAAGACAAATAAAGGCTGGCTGAAATATCTAGGTCTCTAGCCTAAGAAAGGATGGGTTAGGTGTTCACGTTTATTAATATGGATATAGAGAAGCATTTATTCACTAATACATTTTGTTTGTATTCTCTAATTTAAAATCACCTTTCATCTTGCTTGATTTTCCTTCAGCTAAATTAGAAATTTGTAGTTTTCCCCCTAAAAAATTCAATGACATTCTTTCTTATAAATTACACTCTCTGATTTTCTTATCAGCCTGCTTCAAGGAAATCCATGTGTTCAAAATGCTTGCTCGCAGTTTGCCCCATACCAAATGGTTGTTTAATCCAAATATCTGAGCAGCAAACTGAGCTGATCCTTCTGGAGAAAGTATGGTTGAACAGCCAAGACCTATTGGTTCAGAAAGGAAAAGTCAGAAAATTGAGCTCAATTAATAATGAAAATACAACCTCACAAAACATTTTATACTCGGAGCAGTGCTGCCACAGAAAATAAAAAGCTACTGCATTATTCTGACCAAAAGTAGAATCTGTAGAAGAACTTTCTTTAATACCAGAGTGGTAAAGTGATTAAGAGGAAAAGCAGTATTATCTCCTATGAAGAGAGATTTTATATATATCATCTATGACCCTTCTTATAGAATTCACTTACAAAGAAACTTAACCTTTTTGAAACTTCTGTTCACATATACGATCCCTTTCAATCCCTGGGGAAGAACAACTGAAGTAAAACAAGGGTCAAGGTAAATGGAGAGAAATACCTGTTCTCAGACAAACTTGAGCTATGTTGTTTTGATAATTTTCTGCTAATCTTTCTGTCTGCACTTGAACTATTAACATTTTTAAGCAATAAAAAAAGTCAAATCCACAGAATAATTTTAAGAAATGTCAAGTTTTAAATAAATAGTAGTAAGATCCAAAACAGGAGAATAAGAAAGTAACATCCTAGGGGCCACATGTCTGTTGAGGCAGTATCTTGAGGTGGTACAATTATGTCTAGCGTTTGCTAGAATCAGGCACTAGGCAGCTTACAGTTCCAAGAGCTCCATTTGCCCAGTATTCTTGGAATTCATCAGGCTCTTTTGACTTCCATTATCCCCAACAAGAACAGTAAAATACAAATCATGGCTGGGCGTAGTGGCTCATGCCTGTAATTCCAGCACTTTGGGAGGATGAAGCAGGTGGATCACAAGGTCAGGAGTTTTGAGACCAGTCTGACCAACACAATGAAACCCCATCTTTACAAAAATCAGCCTGGCATGATGGTGGGTGCCCGTAAAACCCAGCTACTTGGGAGGCTGAGGCAGAAGAATCGCTTGAACCGGCAAGGCGGAGGTTGTGGTGAGCTGATGTTGTGCCACTGCACTCCAGCCTGGGCAACAGAGCAAGACTCTGTCTCAAAAAAAAAAAGAAAAAAAAAAAAAACCCACAAGGCCAATTTAGTAATTTGTATTAGTATGTTATTTTATGCAGCTCTACCACTTACTATGTGGTACTGGTCAAGTTACCTCATGTTATTTTATTGTCCTGTTCTATAAGTGAATTGTAACTAGTAGCTACTGGATGTGACACTTCAATGAGTTGTTAATACATGTTAAGTGTTTAGAGCATCGCCTGGTATACAATATATGTTCCAAGAATGTCAACCATTATTTTTGGCACATTGGGTAGTGTTTTTTACTCTAATATTTGAAATACCTATGCCTCTTGCCCAGGACTCCCTTTCTGGTAAAATAATAGCTTAAATTTTTTTTTTTTTTTTTTTTTTGAGACGGAGTTTCGCTCTTGTTACCCAGGCTGGAGTGCAATGGCGCGATCTCGGCTCACCGCAACCTCCGCCTCCTGGGTTCAGGCAATTCTCCTGCCTCAGCCTCCTGAGTAGCTGGGATTACAGGCATGTGCCACCATGCCCAGCTAATTTTTTGTATTTTTAGTAGAGACGGGGTTTCACCATGTTGACCAGGATGGTCTCGATCTCTCGACCTCGTGATCCACCTGCCTCGGCCTCCCAAAGTGCTGGGATTACAGGCTTGAGCCACCACGCCCGGCCTTGTTTTTTTTTTTTAAAAAAAGGTTATCTAGTGAGCATGACATCAGAGAAAGAGAAATATGGGCAGTGTTCAGGATTTTACACAGGTTACTGTAAAACCACTCCTCGAAAGATTAGCCCCAATTCTACTGATCATTATGTACAAGTCTTCCAGATTATTTGTCTCTCCTGAAACAGCAAACCATAAAAATTGCAAATGTTTTGCTCATAATGCTCCCCATCTATAAGCTCCAATGATAATATCTATACAATTCCTCTGGCATAAATTTTGGTTACAGCTTTATTTGTAACCACTGATTTTTTGCTTGAGACATTTGTATAGTCATGTCATGTTAAAGATAGTTTAGGCACAAAATGTAATTCTCGGGGCCTATAAAAACAGTCAAGGGAATAATGAAAACAGGCATAAACACACAAGGCCAGTAACATTTTAGCAACTGAAAGGCAAACAGAGTGGTAACTAACTTAGCAGACCAAGAAAATTTAATCCTAGCTGGGCACGGTGGCTCACACCTGTAATTCCAGCACTTTGGGAGGCTGAGGTAGGTGATCACCTGATGTCAGGAGTTTGAGATCAGCAGGGCCAACATGGTGAAACCTCATCTCTACTAAAAATGTAAAAGTAGCTGGGCATGGTGGTGCGTGCCTGTGATCTCAGCTACTTGGGAGGCTGAGGCAGGAGAATGGCTTGAACTCAGGAGGCGGAGATTGCAGTTGAGCTGAGATTGCACCACTGCACTCCAATCTGGGGAACAAGAGCAAACTCTGTCACCAAAAAAAAGAAAGAGAAAAAAAGAAAAAAGAAAACTTGATCCTTAACTGAAAGCAGGAAAAGATGGAAAGCAACATGATTGACATTATAGCAATCTCCCAAATATTGATTAACTTAATTAGTGGCACCACATACCTTTGGAAGGGAAGAGGGACTACTAAGAAGATGATTGATTCAAAGTCTAAGAAGAAGCAGTCAGGCCCTCAAATCTCCTTTCCCACTCTACCTAACTGCCTCTTTAAAGCAATGTAGCATTTTTTTTCTTTTTAAATATTATTTATTTATTTCTGAGACAGGGTCTCGCTCTGTCATCCACATTGGAGTGCAGTGGTACAATCACGGCTCACTGTAGCCTCAACTTCCCAGGCTCCAGTGATCCTCCCACCTTTGCCTCCCTACTAGCTGGGACCACAGGTGTGTGCCATCATGCCCAGCTAATTTTTATATGTATGGTAGAGACAGGGTTTCATCATGTTGCCTAGGTTAGTCTCAAACTGCTAAGTTCAAGCAAGGCACCAGTGTCTGCCTTCCAAAGCGCTGGGATTACAGGTATGAGTTACCACACCAGGCCTTTAATTTTTCTGAAGGTAAAACAGACTTCAGTCTAGGTTTCTTTGGACTAGGGGACACCAAGCACAGACAACTTTTGTTCTCTTTTTTCTGGTCGACGCTTAACACCTAGACACTAATGTAAGGGGTTATTGGAAGAATAATCCCTACCAGATCACCTCACAGTGAAGCCCAATTTTGATATGCACCCACCCACTTGAAGTTTCCAATTTTTTTTTTTTTTAATAGTATTCCACTCTTAAAAGAGCAAACAGCCAAGGACAGCTGAAGAAAGTAACTATATACAACAGACTATAATCATCTTCTCCAAAGCACATAAAAGAGCTCTTAGAAATTTTAAAAAACACAAAAAACAACAACAACCCGGAAAACAAAAACCAAAAGAAATATAAAAATATTGTGTCAAAAGAAGCCAGAGGCAGTGGTTCCTACTCAATCCCAACACTTTGGGAGGCTGAGATGGGAGGATTTCTTAACCTAGGAGTTCAGGACAAGCCTGGGCAACATAGGAAGTGCTCATCTCTACAAAAAGTAAAAAAATTAGCCAGGTATGATGGTGTGGGCCTATAGTTGTAGTTACTTGGGAGGCTGAGGCGGGAGGATCACATGAGCCTAGGAGTTCAACTGTGCATTGAGATAGGATCACGCCTCTGCGCTCCCATCTGGGCAACAGAGCAAGACCCTGTCTCAAAAAAAAAAAAAAAAAAAATACACACACACCTGTATCCAAAATGAAGCCTGGGCACAGTGGCTCACACCTGTAATCCCAGCACTTTGGGAGGCCAAGGCAGGCAGATCACCTGAGGTGAAGAGTTTGAGACCAGCCTGGCCAACATGGTGAAACCACGTATCCAACTAAAAATACAAAAATTAGTCTCGTGTGGTGGTGCATACCTATAATCCCAGCTACTTGGGAGGCTGAGGCACAAGAATTGCTTGAACCTAGGAAGCAGAGGCTGCAGTATGCCAAGATCACACCACTGTACTCCAGCCTGGGTGACAGACATGACTCCACCTCAAAAAGAAAAACTCATTAGAAGAGATGGAATGTAAAATTGAGGAAATATTCCAGAAAGTATAGCAACAAGACAAACAAATAGAATAAAATAGGGAGGCCCAAATTTGAATAAATTAAAAAATGTTTGAAGAGAGAATATGGAGGGGTAAGAAAATTAAATAATTCAAGAAAAATGGGGACTAAGAAATCAGAATTTCAGATTAAAAGAGCCCACCAAAAGTCCATAATGAAAACAGACTCCACATCACATCTGTGTAAAATTTAAGAACAATGAAAACAGACAAAAGATCCTGAAAGTTTCCAGAGAGAAACAAAATTCATAAGAAACCTCGAATCAGACTGGTGGAAAAGCAATGGTGTCCTGAACAACTGGATGCTAGGAGACACTGGAGTAATAATGCTCCCCAAATTCGAAGGCAAAATGATTTTCAGCATAGGATTCTACTTCTAAACTATCAAATAAGTGTAGGGCTTCAATATAAACAATTTGATACCTTGGTATCAAAATTTACCTTTTGTATTCTTTTGCCACCAAGTTCAAGAATGTACTTCAACAAAATAAAAATAAAGCAAGTAAGAGGAAAACATGGGAGATCCGAGCCTAGAGAAAGGCAAAATGAGTCTCCAAAATTATGGTAAAGGAGGATCCTAAGACAGCAGCAGTCCATACCGGACCAGGTTGGAGGGCTCAAGGACTTAGAGGTATCAAGAGTGGATATATACATCTATGAGAAAATTTAAAGGTTTTAGTAATAAAGCAAATCTGCTCCTACTGAAACAATATTGACCCTCATAAATTGCAGAACATCAGATCATATCCTGCACTATGATGAACAAACCATAGATCACACTGTTATGTGATCTAATTCCATCAGCCAAAAGGATTATTTTTTTATCCCCAATTTTTATGTTTTCATTTTTTATCCCCAATTTTCCTTTTTGAGATGGAGTCTTGCTCTGTTGCCCAGGCTGGAGTGCAGTGGTGCAATCTTGACTCAATGCAACCTCCGCCTCTCAGGTTCAAGTGATTCTCCTACCTCAGCCTCTGAGTAGCTGGGATTACAGGTGCTCCCCACCATGCCCAGCTAATTTTTTGTATTTTTAGTAGAGATGGGGTTTCACCAAGTTGGCAGGGCTTGTCTTGAACTCCTGACCTCAAAAGATCTGCCCACTTCAGCCTCCCAAAGTGCTAGGGTGACAGGCATGAGCCATTGTGCCCAGCTTTATCCCTAATAATTAAGGATAAAATTTTATTCTCTCTACAGAAATAACATGATCACATATACTTAAACTCAATACCATGAATTTTTGGGAAAAAAATATCCAAACTTGATTTTACTACAGATCTCACCATCAGTTTATTGAAAACATAGGGAATGGAACAGCATGTTTACCACCACCTAGATATGTAATAAGCCAAATCCAAAATGTAGAAAATTCTATAGGAAAAATGAAAGGGAAAAAGGGAGGATGATTATACATTAAAAAAAATTAAGAGACTATCAACTAAATGCTATATAAGGACGGTGGTGGAGCTGAACCAACCAACTCTATAAACAGATGAGACATTTAGAAAACTTGGACACCGGCCGGGTGCGGTGGCTCAACCCTGTAATCCCAGCACTTTGGGAGGCCAAGGTAGGTGGATCACAAGGTCAAGAGATCGAGACCATCCTGGTCAACATGGTGAAACCCCGTCTCTACTAAAAATACAAAAAATTAGCTGGGCATGGTGGCGCGTGCCTGTAATCCCAGCTACTCAGGAGGCTGAGGCAGGAGAATTGCCTGAACCAGGAGGCAGAGGTTGCGGTGAGCCGAGATCACGCCATTGCACTCCAGCCTGGGTAACAAGAGAGAAACTCCGTCTCAAAAAAAAAAAAAAAAAAAAAAAAAGAAAAAAAGAAACAAAACTTGGACACCAACTAAAAATTATATCTTTAAGAAATTACTGCTACTTTTTCTTAGGTGTGAATATGGTATTGAAACTGTGTCCCTAAGAGTTAAAAGACAACTAACAGAAATTCTTGAGTTTGCAGGGATGATAGATTAAACAATATGGCCAACTAGAGTCTACACAGAACCAGCTTACTGATGTCACAGGCCCAATTTCCACGTTTCATATTAACTCCCCCAAATTTACACATGATCCATAAGATAACATGAAGAGATAACTGTGCATGCCCAAGGACTTTCTAGACCTCCCCTTTCCTTCCACCAATCACCTAATAATCCCAGAATCCATCCCCTAAACCTTTCCTAATAAAATGACTGTCCTAAAGTCAGCATAGGGAGTCAGATTTGAGCTGGACTCATGTCTCCTTGTTGGTCGACTTGAAAAAGGAAGCCTTTCTTTCTCAAAAACCTGGCGGCTTAGATAGTATTGGTTTCTTGTGCATCAGACAGTGGACCCCTTTCGTTCTGTAACAATTTATGATTATGATTTAAAAACTAGAGCCAGCATTGCTTAAAGATAAATAAGTATAAATTACTATAATGTCTAAGATCTGCTTTAAAATAAGCCAGCAAGAGATGGCTATAGACACAAGATGTTAATTGCTCAAGCTAGGTCTTGGGCACATGAGCTTTTATTATACTATTCTGTCTACTGTTGTGTATCTGTTAAATCTTTGTAATGAATAGTTTTTAAAAATTCAGTGTATCTTACCACTGGGTAGTCGAAGAGAAGACCACACATCCTGAGCTCCCCAGTCTGGTGTGAGGGGAGGACAGCTGATAACTGGATATGCAGTGTTCCCAGACACCACTGGTCCCAAACCATTACTTCTGCCTGCCACTGCCACAAAAACAGTTGGAATGCCATCCCCTAGGGAAATAACAAGTTTATAATTATGCTAAACATTTAAAAGAGATTTAAAGACATGGGTTTTTTTGGTTTGTTTAAGGCCTATATGTTTTAATTACTTGAGGTCCTTGAGTAGTCTTCTCTGAGAAAACATAAAAGACACTATTATTACACATATATTTAAAATATCAGGTTACTCTGCTACTTACTGTATAGGTTTGGTTGTTTTTGAGATCTACATTATAAAGGAGATAGTAGGGTGTTAGTGAGGGAACAGCTCATAGGCCTCTTCTACTATTGTTGTGTAGGCTGACCAAAGTGAAGAATGACACCAACTGAACAGGTATCTTTCCTGATTGGGTGGTCCTTCAACCAGCAGGGTGCAGGGAGACCCAGTTAATATAGAGGGCATGTGTTGAAGTAAGAGTTGAAGGAAAGTTTAATAATGTAGTACCCTTAACTTCCAAGGCCCTTTGAGACACTGAGAGACACACACACACACACACACACACACACAGACACACACACACACACACACACACACACATTTTTGAGATGGACTTTTGCTCTTGTTGTCCAGGCTGGAGTGCAATGGTGCAATCTTGACTCACTGCAACCTCCACCTCCCAGGTTCAAGCAATTCTCCTGCCTCAGCCTTTTGAATAGCTGGGATTACAGGTATGCGCCACCACACCTGGCTAATTTTAGTAGAAGTAGGGTTTCTCCATGTTGGTCATGCTGGTCTCAAACTCCCGGCCTCAGGTGATCACCTGCCTCAGCATCCCAAAGTGCTGGGATTATAGGCCACTGTGCCCAGCCCCTTTGATATATTTTTAACATAATCTCTTAAGCAATTCATTCTTTGTTAAATGTATAAATTATCCTTCTGTTTCCTAAAACAGAGATTTGTAACCTAGAATCCAAAATTTTATGTATTTGCAATTTTCTGAAAAGAGTTGTAGAATTCATTAGCTTATCAAAGGAGTCTGAGTTCCCCCAACCTCCCACTCCCCCATAATTAGAAACTACACTCCCATAGTAACGACCTTTAGACGGAATACTCAAATCAACATTTTTTTTCCAGCTGAGAAACATTTGGTTGTAAACCCAGAGCTCCATTGTCAATGCTATCCCATTATTTTTTACATACTGAATTCTGAAACTGTTCCTTAATTTCCCAACTAACCTGCCTCCCAAGAAAGGGTGGCAATTAAAGATTCCTGGGAGAACCTGCTGTTTCAACCTTGGCCTCCTGTGTGGGGGCCTATTTTCTATTGGAGTATATTAGAAGTAGTGCTCCAGGGGCTTCTTCCCAGGTAAAGATGCCAGAGGTTCTCATTATTCTAGCCTTTGTTTTCTTTTCATGCTTGCATTTTTAAATCTTTCTCCCTGCTTCTTTCTTTTCTAAGTGCCTAGAGTACCTTAAGCTCTTTGGAGGTGAGTATTAAGAAAGCCCAGGCCAGGCGTGGTGGCTCATGCCTGTAATCCCAGCACTTTGGGAGGCTGAGGTGGGCGGATCAGGGGGTCAGGAGTTCGAGACCAGCCTGGCCCAGGGTGAAACCCCATCTCTCCTAAAAATACAACAATTAGCCGGGCATAGCACGTGCCTGTAATCCCAGCTACTCGGGAGGCTAAGGCAGAAGAAACACTTGAACCCAGGAGGTGGAGGTTGCAGTGAGCCGAGATCCTGTCACCATACTCTAGCCTAGGTGACAAAGCAAGACTCTTTCTGGCGGGTGGGAAGTTGGGGGAAGCCTAGTATATCATATTTTCCTTTAGAAAAGTGACAAAGCTCTTTTTCAGCATTATTAGTCTAAAGCGTGTAATTACTTTTAGCAAAATCAGAAATACCTGAAATGTCCATATTACTTGTGGTTTACCTTCATACTGAGCTTTAATCCTCAGGGTTTCATCTGGTCCTTTATGTGCAGATGTTACTCGAAGTTCACATGGAATGCCAAAATTTCCACAGGCCTTCTTGATTTTTTCACAGTGACCAAGATCAGAAGTAGAGCCCATCAACACTACAACCCTGCACTGACTTTCTGATTTCAAAAGCAACTGGAGAAGAAATACATGGATATGAAGAGAACATAAAAACAAAAATGAATCAGTGAGCTACAGTTCGTATTAAAATTATATCTGGGCACAGTTCTTACTTAACAAATCAAACTTAAGACAGAGACAAAACAAAAAAGACAGGATTTAGTTTTTAAAATAATCTCAATATAAAGGAAAATGGTCATCATTAAGATCTAAAGAACTCAATTTTTATCAGACAAATTATGTTCATTTAAAAAGAATACTCAAAATCTTTTAACTAATATTCGGGAAATTATAATACAAAACATTTCATCCAAAGATCTTTAGTGCACTTTGTTTAATGAAAGCTTTAAGGTATGATCAGCCAAATCAGAAGTCATGTTTTAAGTCTTTGTAAGTTAATTGCTTGGAACTAAAAATATATCTTCCTGTGAGAATAATGTTCTCAAATGTGATTATGACCCTTGCATAATCACAAACCCCATCCAACTCCCAGAATTATAGTAATATCATAAAAGTTAAAGAAAAACACACAGTATAATTTTATTATAGAAGGTTTACCTCTACTCTCTCTGCAACCCACTCAAAGTTTTTCTTTACCAATTGGAGCCCTTCAGGAGTTACTTCTTTGAGGTCCCGATAAGACTGGAAAATAAGACAGGAAGTTAGAAAACAAATATCTCTTGCTACCTGAAATTACTTAGTTTCTGAGTTTTGGGGAGGGATTTAAAGAGTTTGTTTAGCAAGGGATACTTCTGAAAATGCATCTTTTTACTTCCCGAATTAAACTAGAGGAAGTTCCATAGTAAAGTATACTTTTATTTTCATTTAAGTGTTTTCTGTACTAGCAAGTACAATTAATTGCCTTGAGAATTCTTATAAAGTATTGAAAGGGTCTTGCTCTAATTTTTTTTTTATTTATTTTACTTTAAGTTCTGGACACATGTGCAGAATGTAAAGGTTTGTTACATAGGTATACATGTGCCATGATAGACTTCTGCACCTATCAACCCATCATCTAGGTTTTAAGCCCCCGATGCATTAGGTTATCTGTCCTAATGCTCTCCCTCCCCTTGTTCCCCACCCCACGACAGGCCCCAGTGTGTGTTGTTTCCCTCCCTGTATCTATGTGTTTTCATTATTCAACTGCCACTTGGGAGTGAGAACATACAGTGTTTGGTTTTCTGTTCCTGTGTTAGTTTGCTGAGGATGATGGGTTCCAGCTTCACCCATGTCCTTGCAAAGGACATTATTTCATTCTTCTTTATGGTTGCACAGTATTCTATGGTGTGCATGTACCACATTTTCATTATCCAGCCTATCACTAATGGGCATTTGCGTTGGTTTTATGTCTTTGGTATTGTAAATAGTGCTGCAATAAACTACGTTTTCATAGAATGATTTATATTCCTTTGAGTATATACCTAGTAAAGGGATTGCTGGGTCAAATGGTATTTCTGGTTCTAGATCCCTGAGGAATCACCACACTGTCTTCCACAATGGCTGAACTAATTTGCATTCCCACCAACGGTGTCAAAGATCTTTTCTTTTTGTCCACAGCCTCACCAGCATCTATTGTTTCCTGATATTTTAATAATAGCCATTCTGATTGGCGTGAGATGGTATCTCACTGTGGTTTTGATTTGCATTTCTCTAATGATCAGTGATGATGAACTTTTTTTCATATGTTTGTTGGCTGCATAAATGTCTTCTTTTGAGACGTGTCTGATTTTTTATAGGAACAGAAATGGAGCCTGGTAACATCCAGGAGACTTGGGATAGAGTCCAGATCTGTCCCTGACTCTAACAATTATGAAGATACCCATCTTCTTAAGATACTTAGTTTTCATTTAGCCAAAGATAGTACTTGCTGTTATTACTGTGAGAATGTAATTAAGATAATAAATGAGACATTTGCTTCATAAATGTAAATTATTATTCCTATTATTCTTATATTAGGATACTGGAGATATTTATCTTTAAAAATAAACATTGATCAACAAATCAGGTCCTTATCATTTGGAATAATTTGCTTTTCCCATCATCTCTCCTTTCTCCTGTCTCAGCTTGATCTCAAAAAGCATAAAAGATCTGAAGCATTATATACCTGTTTGTCTTTCTGTTGGCTTCGATCTCCTGATGGCCAGAGTCTCCAGGAATCATTATCGATAACATCAGCAAGAACAATTTCTTTGGTGGTTACATCAACACCAAATTCAATCTGGAAACAGTACATCAACAAAGTTTTCAAAACCTATTCTATGAAAACATCTCTCAACTATAACCTTTACTTTCAAATCCCATTATTTTATCTGTACCTTCATATCAACCAGAGTGCAATTCTGGGGCAACCAGGATTTCTCCAGTATTTCAAAAATAGCCTGTGTAGCATGACTCATGATATCCACTTCAGTTTGGCCTATAACAAGTCCAGCAAAGCAAAATTTTGCAGCAATCAGCTGTTCCTCAGACCACTGTGGGTCATTATTGGCATCATCCTGTGAATAAAGTATAGTAGTACAATCAACTTAACTCTAAAATTTTTAAACTTTTCAGAAAAACTAGCTTCTTTTTCACCTTAAGCATGAACTCCTTAGAAATTTTCAGCTAAGTGCAATGGCTCACACTGTAATCCCAATAATTTAGGAGGCTGAGGCAGGAGAATCACTTGAGCCTAGGAGTTCAAGAGCAGCCTAGGCAACAAAATGAGACACCTAAAGAAATTTTTTGTTTATGATATCCTTTAATTCAAAGCAATTATTACTCCTCTTTTTTTTTTTCCTAGTTACCTCCTGCAAGCAGAAAAAACTATTACTCTTAATTTATCTACTCTCAATAATACTTTAAAATTCAAAGTATTTAGGTGAGTAACTTATTCTAGGTCACAAAGTGTTTCAAAGAATTTGACCTCTCTATATAAACCAATTTAAACAGAATTTAAATTCGTGATTTTTGATTTCCCTTAGTAGCAGTCATCAGACATGACAGGAAGGCCAAAGCACATTTTGATCAATCAAATCTTTCCAAAACCACAGTTCTCATAACCCCCTGACCTCACTTTTTATTAGAATTTACACAGGACTACAATTTTTTAGGGACATTATTTGATAATTCAAGAGAACTCAAAGTAAAGAGGTAAGAGAAAAAATGAAATAATTTCATTTTATTCTAAGCAGTGTCCCAACTTTATATGACAATATCTTTAATAAATTCTTGATCTATATAATCACAATACACAAAAGTTATATAACTTATTGATTAAAAAGCAACACTGATAATTGCTTCTCAAGCGGATCTATGCTTAATATAAATCAAGATGGTTAAAGCAGTAAAGCCTATAAAAATTCATAACCACTGATTCCTACAACCTTTATGTATTTTCACTTAAAAGAGACATTGTTAGTATAGTTTTCCTGTATTAGAATATAAAGTGATTTCAACTAAATTTTAAAAAATTAGTTAAATGTTGTCTCTTCTTCCTGTTAGTCATCTTGGTTCAAAGGCAAGCAGATTTTCAGATGCTTTCTTTTAAAATTTGATTTATCACTGCTAATGGAAGTGTACATTACTGACATATTGGCAACTAGATACAATATACATTTTGGAATGACATTGGCAATACCAAAATATCAAAAACTTTGCTTTAATATTTAAATATTAGATTTTCTAATTATAAATTTATTGCTGTGTTATATAGTAAGACATAAAATAGAGGCGTAAGACAATTACCTTGAAAAACAACTCCACTTTAGGTGGGTAAAACTTATATCCTTCCTTGACACCAGGATTTCTTTTGAGAAAAGAACCAGTTGCTATTCTTCTGCAAACCCATTCAATTGGAATCATTTCACACTGGGGTGCAATGAAAGCTGTCTCCCCACATTTTCTGGTGAAGGCAGTTTTAATACCTATATATTGATAATTACATAAAGTTTAATGAATTCTCAATATGTACCCTAAAACTAGTCTATTAGAAATTAAAAAAAAAAATCAGGTTTACTTAGTTTCACAGTACTAGACATAAAACCTGGAAAATATCTTTCAACATTTCCTGTGAACCAATTAAGTTTTAGCGATCTTAAATGCCAAATAAAGTAGTTTAAAGATAACTATTGGAGTATTTCATTTAGGTAACCATCCTTCCCTGTTCCCCTGGGCACAGGACTCTCAGAGTTAAAACAGATAGTCCTGGACAAACATAACACAACTAAGTCACTCTAATTTACTTGTTATAAAGTTCTGGAAATGGATAATGGGATGAGTGTAAATACACTGTGAAAATACACTGAATAAGCAAACAAAAATTTGGGCTTTATCTCCCATTACTTGAAATAATCCTGTAGCTATGTGGAACTAGCAAGGGTACCCAGAAACTAATCTTCTGACTGCTAACATTTTAAAGGGTTAAGCACTCTAAAAGTTTAAGTGGATGGGGAGAGAGAAAACTTGGGAAGCAAAAGATTGGTGGAACAGACCGGGTGAGGTCACTCACGCCTATAATTCCAGCACTTTGGTAGGCCAAGGTGGGTGGATCACTTAAGGTCAGCAGTTTGAGACCAGCGTGGCCAATATAGTGAAACCCATCTCTACTAAAAATACAAAAATTAGCTGGGCATAGTGGCACACACCTGTAATCCCAGCTACTGGGGAGGCTGAGGCATGAGAATCACTTGAACCCAGGAAACAGAGACTGCAGTGAGCAAAGATTGGGCCACTGCACTCCAGCCCAGGCAACAAAGCAAAATTCAATCAATCAATCAATCAATCAATCAATGGAACACTTATCTGTATTGCAAAAGAAACTAAAATTAATTTGATGCTCTCTTTAGAAATTACATCAGTCATTGGGAAGCCACCAACTAAGAAACCTTGAAGTAAAAATCCTAGATTCTACGACTTAGGAACTCTGGAAAATCCCTTAAATTTATAGTAATACACTCACTTTCACAGCATAGAGGGATTTATGATGTAGATGACAATCCAGGTTTGCAATTAAATTTTTTTCACATTAGGCCGGGTGCGGTGGCTCAAGCCTGTAATCTCAGCACTTTGGGAGGCCGAGGCGGGTGGATCACAAGGTCAAGAGATCAAGACCATCCTGGTCAACATGGTGAAACCCCATCTCTACTAAAAATGCAAAACATTAGCTGGGCATGGTGGCGTGTGCCTGTAATCCCAGCTACCTGGGAGGCTGAGGCAGGAGAATTGCCTGAACCCGGGAGGTGGAGGTTGCGGTGAGCCGAGATCACGCCATTGCACTCCAGCCTGGGTAACAAGAGTGAAACTCCATCTCAAAAAAAAAAAAAATTTTTTTTTTTCACATTAACCAAAATTGTGAAATAGGATACTTTGGAATAAACAAAACTACTCCAGGAATGCACTGACAATGAATTTAAATTGCATTACCTTGTTATTTCGTGGAAGGCAGGTACAGCTAACTTAACTGAAAGCAAAAGCATTAAATGCCTTTTTGAATTTAAGAAAGATTAGTGCTACTAGAAACTCTAAGAAATGAAAGGGCAACTGGGAATATTGAAATTAAAAGTAAGGAAAGTTATTGTCAAATTAGAACTGGCAGGAATGATAAAGAACAGAGCTTTTATTTCATAGGTAAGGCTTCAAATGATCAAAAAATCATTTGGTTGAATGATCCAAAGCAATGAGGCTGTTTACACTGTGAGGAAAGAGTTCAAATCTTTTCCTAGCTGAATTTTCATACACTACAGACCAACCAGCAACTGAATGAATCCCTGCAGAAAAACCCTTTATCCTAAGTTCCTTTCCTTTGCTCCAAATACCCACCACACAATGTTCTGATCTTCATTTGGTCTTTAGAATCTATTTCTCTACTGAAAATAGAGCCTTTATTCAGCTTTTGAACAGGAGGGCACTCTGGAATTTTAGTTCAAATCTCTCATTTGGGGAATGGCAGGAGAAGGTTTGGTTGCTGTCTTCAAATACTTTTCAGGGCTTTCAAGTGGAAGAGGAATTTGAAATTCTGTATTATCTCCCAGAGGCAGAACAAAGATCATTTGTATAGAACTGCAGGGGATAAATTTCAGTTCATCTGTTAGAACTGCCTAACATTAAAATGGGTTTCCTTCACAGTTAAATTCCTTAAGACTGAAGATGGCCTTGGAGAGGTAAGCTGCATAGAGAGCACAGTGCCAATAAAGATTACAGCAAACTTGTTAAGATTCGTTTTAATTCAGTAACACTAATAATTCCAAACCAAATAAAGTGTTGTTGTGAAGTTTAAGAGTTCTTAGTTTGATTTAAATTCACTTAGCTTGTGAGACATCTGTAAACATGTTGTTACCCTTAAAGCCAACTTCCCGTGAAAGACATCAATGTGCTTACCAGAGAAGGTGGGAGGGGTGACTGTGAGGAAGCGGCTTACCTGCTTCCTGCAACAACTGAAAAATACAGCTGGTGATTTTATTTGAGATTGCAGCTTTTCCTTCCAGGTGATTCTTCCTAGCTGCATTTCCTGCTGTAATCTGGTCCTTGGACTGCAGGAGGACTTTTCCTGGACTATCTAACAATTCGTAGACTTCCTTTGTTTTACCCTCATACAATTTTTTACCAATGTTCAGTACTGTGGAAATAAAATGGAAATAGATCACAATTCAGAAAGAAGTTTTCTAAATACTGAAGACTAAGTCATCTAGAATGATGATTCATTAAATATACAGTGATTAAGTAATATTAATAAAAATTAAATCGTCTGCATAAAATCATATACTCTACAATGTATTTCTCATATCATTACATTTGATTCACATAATTTTGTGAATAATTTTAATTATGTAAATAATTATAGAAATTAGTAAAGCAGAAACCAAAAAGGCTGAGAGTCATGTAGTTAGGAAACCAGAGCTAGAAAAAATTCTAACTCCTCTGACATCAAATCCTGTCCTCAGCCGGGCGCGGTGGCTCAAGCCTGTAATCCCAGCACTTTGGGAGGCCGAGGCGGGTGGATCACGAGGTCAATAGATCGAGACCATCCTGGTCAACATGGTGAAACCCCGTCTCTACTAAAAATACAAAATACAAAAAACTAGCTGGGCATGGTGGCGTGTGCCTGTAATCCCAGCTACCCAGGAGGCTGAGGCAGGAGAATTGCCTGAGCCCAGGAGGCGGAGGTTGCGGTGAGCCGAGATCGCGCCATTGCACTCCAGCCTGGGTAACAAGAGCGAAACTCCGTATAAAAAAAAAAAAAAAAAAAAAAAAAAAAAAAAATCCTGTCCTCTTTCCACTATTAACCTGCCTCTCATGGCAGAACCGAACTAGAATTAAAATTAAGACACATTAAAAGTAAAGTAAATATACTAGTATTTTCATATACACACTCACAATATAGTTTTGAGTAGCTTGAAGGAAAAAAAATGTGAATTTTGCTGATATTTGCTTTTTTGCAGGCAAAATGGGAACATTCAGCCAGATAGGTTTCTTGATTTCAAGTTAATATTCAAGGAGGCATACCATTCCATTGAAGTTAGCCCATTTGGAAGCACCACTCTATTTCTTAATGCCCCCATTAACCCTTTCTCTTCGCTAACAGTTTTAAGAAATTGTGAGGCAGTGAGCACAAAGGAATCCAATGTTGATGCTGATCACAAGACTTAAGAAGTACATGAAAGGATGATTTAGAGAAAGATTAAAAATAATAGATGTTTTGGAACTTAAAATTTCCAAAGGGAGAAATCAGCCCTCATGCCCCCAAAACACTCTCAGTAACAACATTTTCCCAATGTATCCATGTGCCAAAGGATATGCCAGTAAATAAGAATCACTGCTCTCAAGAGACCTGAGTCTGAGGGAATTTGATATTGAACAAGACATCATAATAATAGAATGCAATAAATATAGACTACAGGACTAGTCCAGACATTAGAAAAGGAAGTCTACAAGAAAGTGACATGTTGCGATCTGAAGAATGATCAAAATTTATCCAAAAGAGAAAAAGGGGTAGGTAGTGTTAATTAATAAATACAAGGTGGTCAAAGTGGATTGCAGAACTTCAGTCTGATTGGAGCTGGAGCTCTGGGTATATGTACATTGCTGTTGAGCAGGGAAGGGGTGGGGACTGCAACTAAGCTGTAGAAAAGAATGGCAGGAGACAAGACTTAGGAGTTGGACAGGGGCCACATCACCAGCTAGTGGAGGTAACCATTAAATATTTATAATTTAGTTAACAGTTGCCACTATAGGGCACCTAACCTAGAGGATGAATCCCTACTCTCCCTAATGTAATGTCTAGATGTGGGTAACTCCCCTATATAGGCACCGAGGAATGAGAGCTAAGCAGAGCCATGGCACAGTTAGGGCTTGAGGAATATCTCACTTTATAGTGTTACTACTCAGCTATTTCCTTTTATGTAATCCTTTACATAATCATATATTAGTTTATAGAAATAGGGCTTGAAGTCTCCCTTTATATAATCCTCTCTATATAATCATATAATAGTTGATAGTATGAGTGCCTAAAGAATATTTCCCTACATATATACCTATAATTATATCTTAGTTCATAATTGGAGGAATGCCTAGAGTGACAACAGTACAGAGCATGAATTAAGGAATAGGCAGCTTATAATTGGAAGAATGCCTAGAGCAGACACAGTGCAGAGCATGATTTAAGGGAAAACAGTTATACCAGGACAAGAATCCATGGGGGAGGCAGCAGTGTTCAGTATCATAAAGATACCGCTGTATGGCAGGCTTGGGGCGAGAGCCACTCCTCCTGATAAAGGAGTTGTAGGACCTTGCTCCAGTTCTTGTGGAAGGCTGCCCTCAGAATGGCAATCCACCTTGGTAACTGTGAACTTTATCAGCTCTTGCTACTGTGCTGCTTGAAAAGCATCTTCCCATAGAACCCACTGGAAGCTGCCAGAAGGTGGCGGTAACCTTGACAGCTGTCACTGCTATGTGACTTAAAGCATCTTCCTATAAATCTTAGAAGTAGTTTTCCCATAGATAGAAGTATCATACACTGCACCCTCTTCACTGCGCATGACCCACCTTCGAGCCTTGGTGACCTAATGGGGGTGGACCCCTTACTGCACACAGCCCTTGCCTTTGTGGGAACAGGCCCCTTGCTGTGCACTGTCCATCTCCTGGCCTAGGTGACCTAATGGGGGTAGACCCTATGTTTTATTGCTCACGACCCTATCACTATCCTTAAAGATGATTTCACTCACTGCCCTGCCCCCTAACCTATACACAATAAATACTCATGCTTCTGGACATGGGGCCTCGCCTGACTCTGCATATAGGTGGTGTGGCCCCTCCGAGCCCAGCTGCGTTTTCTTTGTACTTCTGTGTCCTGTCTCCTTATTTCTCAGATCCTGCGTCTCAGCATAGCATAAGGCTCACCCCACGACCCTGTGGGGCTCTCAGCCTTACATCTGGCTCCCAACGTGCCCTACATCTAGACTCATTGACATGGTTAAAAAGTCCCTTCAAGATACAGCCCTGGCTTACTGCTCCAAACTCTTATTTGTCTATTTCCTATCTAGAATTTCAACATTTTTAATTCTTATAGAACCTTTCTCCTAGGGCTTCTGACAATTTCTTCTTTCCCAGGCCTGGAAAACTTCCCCTCCATTTTGCTACACATCCTTCTGGTTTCACAAGCCATGCTGATTGAGTTTAGACTTGAACCTAAGAAGAGCTATAAGGCTTTTAAGTGCTGAAGCAAAGTGGTATTTGGAAAGATCATTATGGCTTCTGTACGGACAATGAAGGGAGGAAGGGCTGGGTGAAAAAAAACTAGAGCCTGGGAGACCAGTTAGGATGCTGTTGCAGTAACTTGAACAAGAAACGTCCTGGCCAGGTGTAGTGGCTCATATCTGTAATCTCAGCATGTTAGGAAGCCCAGGTGGGCAGACTGCTTTAGCTCAAGAGTTCAAGACTAGCCTGGGCAACGTGGCAAAACCCCACCTCTACCAAAAATACAAAAATTAGCCCAGCATGGTGGTGCGTGCCTGTAGTCCCAGCTACTTGGGGAGGTCGAGGCTGCAGTGGGCCAAGATTGCTCTATTTCACTCAAATCTGGTGACAGAGTGAGACCCTGTCAAAAAGAAATGTCTTGGTCTAAGGAAAGAGTAGTGGGCAAAGATGCAAGATATTTACGATAGTAGCTTTGAAAATTCAGCACGGAGGATAAAAGAGAGGAAAGAGTATAGAGCAGTGAGCCATGCGTGGTGGCTCACACCTGCAATTCCAGCACTTTGGGAGGCTGAGGTGGGCGGATCACTTGAGGTCAGGAGTTCAAGACCAACCTGATCAACATGGTGAAACCGTCTCTACTAAAGATACAAAAAATAGCCGGATGACATGCTGCATGCCTGTAATCCCAGCTACTCAGGAGGCAGAGGCAAGATAATTGCTTGAACCCGGGAGGTGGAGGTTGCAGTAAGCGAAGATCGTGCCACAGCACTCCAACCTGGGCTAGAGAGTGAGACTCTGTCTCAAGAAAAAAAAAAGTACCCAGGGCAGATAAAGAAATTAGCATTTATATAAATTAATATGCAATAAGCCTGGCAAAGTTTGTATCGAATGCCCCTCCCCTTAATTTAGTTGACTCTGTATTACTTAGCCATTAAATAGGGTAGGAATTTCAATTAACAGGTAGAAACAACATAACAAACAACCATATGTGACATACGCTACCAGTGCCAAAATGATGGCTACAAATTTGTAGATGAATTCAGAAAAGACTGATGAGGACTAAAAATGGTTCATGGAATTGAAATTTAAGAGTCTGTGAAAGCACAAAGCATTTAAGAAAATTCTAAGACTCTGCTGTCCAATAAGGCCAGCCACTAGAAATGAGGCTATTACAAGTTAAGATGTGATTTAAGTGTTAAAATATACCCTGCATTTGATATGAAAAAAATGCAAAATACCTAAACAGTTTTTCATCTTGACTACATGCTGAAATGTATCTTGTGTATATAGGGTTAAATAATTAAAACTGGGTCACGTCTGTAATCCCAGCACTTCGGGAGGCCGAGGTGAGCGGATCACTTGAGGTTGGGAGTTCAAGACCAGCCTGGTCAACAAGGCAAAACCCCTTCTCTACTTAAAATACAAAAATCAGCAGGGTGTAGTGGTGTGTGCCTGTAATCCCAGCTACTTGGGAAGCTGAGGTAGGAAATCGCTTGAACCAGGGAGGCAGAGGTTGCAGGGAGCCAAGATCATACCACTGCACTCCAGCCTGGGCCACAGAGTGAGACTCTGTCCAAAAAAAAAAAAAAAAAACCCATAAAAAACACATGTATGCATATATATGTGTGTGTGTCTATATGTCTAGACACATACACAAACGCATTACACCAGTTTTTTTTTTTTTTTTTTTTTTTGGTTTTTAAAATGTGGCTCCTAAGATAAATTTACATTATATTTCCATTAGCCAGCAATGCTCTGGGGGAAACATAAATAAAAGGTATATAATGAAAAACAAACTTTGGTGAATTAACCTGACTGGAACATAAGCTAAGGATTCACATTAGAGAAAAATGAAAGGGGTGAAGAGGTTGAAAGGATAGTAATATTCAGAATTTGAAAGAAAAGGCATTTCAGACTGGATTTAACATCTCTAGAGACGGCACGAAACGCTTTTATGTTTTAGAGACCATAAAAGTGGCATTTTAGAAAAATCAATCTGCCAACGGTATGCAAAATGGAAAGAAGTAGAAGAGCAACGATTTTAGAGATTTGCCAGTTTAGAGGTACAGGACCATGATTGCAAGAAACACTCTGGTCCAATGCCTTGATTTTAGGGAGTTAATAATATCACCTGAATCTTTTTTGCTGAATCTACAACTTTTGAAAGTCTAAATTCAGTTACTTTCTATGTGGAAAAGAATGTGCCCAACAGCCAACACAAGCAATTTGGTTCAGTACATTTACGGCAATTCGGTTCGTGGAACAAAGCAACGTTTTTTGTTTGTTTTGTTTTTCCAGCATTAATAGCAAGAACAATCCTTCCTGAGGATCTGACCACCCTGGGACAAACTGATAGCGTAACTTTGTAAATTTGATCAATCCAAAGTCGAAGCAAGAAAACTTCTTTTGCCTGCGGGTTTTGCCTCCAAAGCCATCATGGCACCAAAGGCTACTTCAAAGCGCAAGCACATGCGCGCACACACATCCCTGGCATCAAAAAATACTTAAACGTGCACACACACATACACACATAGACACAGACTACTCACACACACAACCCCCAAGCTCTCGTGGCATCAAAGACTTCGCCGCGCGCACACACACACACACACCCCTCCATGGCATCAGACTACTTAAACACACGCGCGCGCGCTCTCTCTCTTTCTCCTTTTTTTTTTTTTTTCTTTTTTTGAGGCGGAGTCTCGCTTTGTTGCCCAGGGTGGTGTGCAGTGGTGCGATCTCGGTTCACTGCAACCTCTGGCTCCGGGTTCAAACGATTCTCCTGCCTCAGCCTCCCAAGTAGCTGGGATTACAGGCACCCGCCACCATGCCCCGCTAATTTTTTGTATTTTTAATAGAGACGGGGTTTTGCCATGCTGGTCACGCTGATCTCAAACTCCTTGACCTCAGGTGATCCGCCCGCCTCGGCCTCCCAAAGTGCTGGGATTACAGGCATGAGTCACCGCTCCTGGCCTCTAGATAGGTTTTTCAAAAGTTTCAATTACTGGGCCGGGGGCGGTGGCTCACGCCTGTAATCCCAGCACTTTGGGAGGCCGAGGCGGGTGGATCAAGAGGTCAAGAGATCGAGACCATCCTGGTCAACATGGTGAAACCCCGTCTCTACTAAAAAAAAAAAAAAAATACAAAAAATTAGCTGGGCATGGTGGCGCGTGCCTGTAATCCCAGCTACTCAGGAGGCTGAGGCAGGAGAATTGCCTGAACCCAGGAGGCGGAGGTTGCGGTGAGCCGAGATCGCGCCATTGCACTCCAGCCTGGGTAACAAGAGCGAAACTCCGTCTCAAAAAAAAAAAAAAAGTTTCAATTATTAACCTTCTTACAAATGTCATTAACCTAACGGGCAAAGCAAGACTCAGGTTTGACGAATCAACACCAGATTTGCTTCTATTTTGCAATAGCTATTGATTATTAATAATACTTCCAGGCACTTTTCCAACCCCGCTATTTCTCGTACTCCTCTGCTTTGCTCCTTCTCCCGGAGGCAGCAGAGTAAGTTCACGGAGGCCCAGGACCGCGTGGGCCACGTGTGCGCCTGCACCGAGGCGCAGGCGCGGCCGCAGGGAGTCGGGACAGAGCTCCGGGGCTCGCAAGTGGCCGCGAGCTCACGGCCAGCTCACGGCCGGGAGGTCAGGAGGACCAAGGAGGGCCGGGACGCCTGTTACTCACCCTCAGCTGTCGCCATTATCCTGAGTGGGCTGAGGGCTGCGACCGCGCCGGGAAGCGAGGCAGAACTCTAGAAAAGAGGGGTGGTCAGAGAGGCTCGCGGGGCGGAGAAGGAGGCGCGGCCCACAGACACGCCCCCTGGCGGGGACGTGCGACCCTACGCCACTATCCTCCAGCACCGCGACAATTGCCGAACCCAGAGGGGTCTAGGCGGAGACTGAAAGCTGGACCTCTGAAGAAAGAACTCCCCGCAGGCTTCCCGCCGCGCAGGCGCAGCGACGCAACCCCGCCTCCGGGCCGCCCCGCGCTGGCGCAGTGCCCAGACAGGCGAAAAGTGGCGCGCACTGGCGGCCCCTCGTCACTCGGCGGAAGCTCGCATACCCCGGCCCTTTCTCGGCCGCTGGAGCGCCTCAGAGGTTGGAGCGTACCAAGTCGTGATTGCCTGGGGGAGGCATATGGGAAAGGGCATATGAAAGCTAAATGCTCTGAAAGAGAAATGGCGTTAAATCCGTTATTCCCATTACGCTAGTCTTCGATGCTGGAAAATAACGGAGATTTCCACGTGCAGCTAATACGGCTGTCCAGACAGCTGTTAGGGGACGGCTAGCTCCACCCCACAGCATCCGTGGCCCCGCCCCTCCACCGCGGCACCGCCCCTCCTCCCTCGCCTGTTGGTGGGCTCGGAGGGGGCGTGGCAGGGCCGGGCCGGCCACACCCACCTAGGGACAGCGCGCGCCGCCGCAGTAGCTGGGGCCAGCCTCGGGGAAGGAAGCGGCCGTCGTGAGCGCGATCTTCTGAGCCGGACGGGCCGAGCTGGCAGCTGGTTGGTCCTTTAACCTTGGCCGCAGCGGCAGATCCCTCCACGTGCTTTCGGCGGCGACATGGAGCTGGAAGAGTTGGGGATCCGAGAGGAATGTGGCGTGTTTGGGTGCATCGCCTCAGGAGAGTGGCCCACGCAGCTGGATGTACCGCATGTGATCACTCTGGGACTCGTGGGGCTGCAGCACCGGTGAGCAACAGGGTAGGGGTGGTGGGGGCGTGCGTCTTCATCTTTTGGAACCGCTTCCCGCAGTCGGCGTTCTCGTGAGCGTCGAGGGCTGGGAGGACCTACCTCTCCGCCCTGGACTGGTAGCTGGCTGTGGCATCGACCTGGTTGCCTAGGTGGGCACGTGGGGCGCCTCGCTTTCAGGAACTTTAGCCTGTCCTGCCCACCTTTCCAGCCTCTCATACCCTTTAGGGGCTCTCTCCTTCCCCGCCCCCGGGTCTGTGCATCCTTCCAGAGGCTGGCCAGCTTGTAAGGCTCTGGTTTGCTTGGTCTAGCTGGGTCACGGCTCCTTCCCCACTGCTTGCGGGTTCTAATCTCCCCGAGCCTGTGGCTGCTTCTGTAATAGGTTAGTGTGGTGTGGCGGCTGGTCCAGGTCCTACAACACCTAAAGGTTTTCGCGCTGGGCCTCCCACCACCGCAAGCTTTTGTTTGCAGTGGCAGAGCTATTGAGCAGATGATGGATTTGAAAGTAGTTATCGCTATGGGAACTTGAGGTTCCTAGACTTAAGACCCACGGAAAGATGACTAGTTGATGTTTAGAAGGACTAGATGTCAAATAAATTAAGTGAAAATAAACCAACCATAGGGAATAGTGCATCTGGAAAAGATTCATTGGTAGACGTCTTACCTAATGAATGAAAACGTTGTTAATAAGATGACAAAAAGCAACTCCCTTCTTCAAAAGGGGAGTAGTGTCTCTGACAAGATCCATACACTTGGTTTTGAAAAATTGGGAGATCCCTTTGAGTCAAAAAAAAAAAAAAGAGTTTGCTCAGGGATCTTTCCTTTTCTTGCTACCTGACTTAACTGGAAGTTGATATAAATTATTACTCTACGGTAAGAGACACAAACCTGGGTTTCATACCCTCACTGAAAGTCTTACAAAGTTTCCGTAAGGTAATACAGTAATAACAACATCTAGTACAGTTTGGGAACTTGGCAATCACACTTAACAGCAAAATGGGTGCAACATGCATAAACGCATTCCAAATGATTAGCTTTCCCTCAATCAAACTTAAATTAGAAGTACTTTTTGCTGTTTTCCTTGTCCCAAATACTTGAATTTCGGTTTCACATTTTATGTTTACTATAGAACTGAGAATGTGGGATGCATCAAAAAGAATATTTTTAACTTGCATAACTCCAATCTTGGATAATTATGGGTTGACCATAATAGATTTCTCTAAAAAAAAAACAACACATACATTGAAAGGATTAGTTACATAATCCAAGGAGAAAGTAAACTCTTGATTAGGTGGTAGTTCTGAGCAACATTAGTTTGTAACATTCTTAGAAGTTATCACCTGTGGTGGTGGCCGCTCACGCCTGTAATCCCAGCACTTTGGGAGGCTGAGGTGGGCGGATCATGAGGTCAAGATCAAGACCATCACCAACATGGTGAAACCCCGTCTCTGCTAAAAATACAAAAATTAGCTGGTAGTGTTTTTGGATATTCTGTCATGGAAGTGGGGGAGAATCTAGAGGTCTTTAGGGTTGCCTGGTGGTCTATAGAAAATATATATGAACTATTCTTCACTATATTTACTTTTTTGCCAAAGTTATTCAGGAAGTTTTCATCCCCCTTTCTTCTCCCCTTTAAATGTGTGCCTGAAGAAAAAGAGGCTTTTATTTTTCAGTTTGTTTTTGAGACCAAGTCTCACTCTGTTGCCCAGGCTGGAGTGCAGTGGTGGCAATCCTGGCTCACTGCAACTTCCACCTCCTGGGTTCAAGCTATTCTTGTGCCTCAGTCTCCCGAGTAGCTGGAATTTGAAGCGTGTTCCACCACGCCTGGCTAATGTTTTTAGTAGAGACTGGGTTTCACCTTGTTGGCCAGGCTGGTCTCTTAACTGCTGGCCTCAAGTGATCCTCCTACCTAGGCCTCCCGAAGTGCTGGGATTACAGGCGTGAGCCATGGTACCCCACCAGAACTAACATTTTTGTATGGCGTTGAATCTAGGAACGTCAAAACTAGAACCTAGTTCAGTTGTCATAGCTTAATAGTAGTTTAGTTAAATATATATATGTGTGTGTGTTTGTGTGTGTATATATATATATATATAGTGTACCCTGAGAAGTGGTGGTCTGTTGCAGAAAGCTGTTTCCATTTTCTTACTCTCATTCACTTACTGGTTAGTTTTAAAACAACTGCAGAAAGGTTTAATTGTTGTTGTTTTTTTTTTTTCCATTTTGGTGAAGGAATTTATTTCTTATACATTATCTTCTTTTTTTTTTTTTTTTTTTTTTGTGAGACAGGGTCTCACTTTGTCACATAGGCTGGAGTGCAGTCACATGATCTGAGCTCACTGCAACCTCCACTTCCCAGGTTCAAGCAATTCTCGTGCCTCAGCCTCCCAAGTAGCTGGGATTACAGGCACCTACTGCCACACTTGGCTAATTTTTGTATTTTTAGTAGGGATGGGGTTTCACTGTCTTGACTAGTCTGGTTTCGAACTCCTGGCCTAAGTGATCCACCCACCTTAGCCTCCTAAAGTGCTAGGATTACAGGCGTGAGCCACCATGTCTGGGCAAATTTAAGAAGATAGAATCCCGGCCGGGTGTGGTGGCTCAAGCCTTTAATCCCAGCACTTTGGGAGGCTGAGGCAGGTGGATCACAAGGTCAAGAGATCGAGACCATCCTGGTCAACATGGTGAAACCCCGTCTCTACTAAAAATACAAAAAATTAGCTGGGCATGGTGGCGCGTGCCTGTAGTCCCAGGTACTCAGGAGGCTGAGGCAGGAGAATTGCCTGAACCCAGGAGGCGGAGGTTGCGGTGAGCCGAGATCGCGCCATTGCACTCCAGCCTGGGTAACGAGCGAAACTCCGTCTCAAAAAAAAAGAAGATAGAATCTAGAAGGTGAGATTTCTACTGCTTTTACTTTGTATTTGGTTCATTTTTTGTCTCGGGCATAATCTAATCTAAAATATTTAGTCTCAGAGTTAACAAAATACCTGGAAGGTATATTACCTATTTCATATAAAAATAGAGTATCAATTAGTGAACAGCCATGCACTGGATATTTAACAGAGATGGGTTCACCCAGATGTACTACCCCTTTTTAGTAATTCTGGCTATCTTCAGAGTTACTCTGTAGCTTTGCTTTCTGAAGGGGAATTTTCAAATGTCCTTTTAGCTGTAAACTGTGCATGCATGTGTTGTGGGTATGTTCATGCCAGATTCATATAATCACATGCTGTTTTGGTCCTGAAAACATCATCTCAGTAATTTGCAGAGTTCTGAACAAACCAGACATCCCTTCTTAGAGTAAACATATTCATTTTTAAAACACAGTCACATTTTATGGAGACTAGAATGGCCTGGACATATTTGAAGATTCCTTAGATTTATCCCATGAATCAGCTAGTTAGCCTTTCCTTGATTCATTATGAGATAAGCATACGCTTCCCTTCAGTGAATTATCACTTCTCTGGGTTAGGATTTGAACCGTACAATGACAAACATTTTCATACTACTTCTAAACATTTATAAGATTTACCTGATGAAGTTGGGTTTCCTGTCTGCAGAAACGTTCAGTAGAATCTTTTGGTTCTGTTATTATGCTTTGAGGAAACTGATTTGTAATGATCTCAGGAGCACTTTTCTTAAGAGATAGGGACACTGTTTCTGCAAACAGAGTACAGAACATTACCACTAGAAAGGCACTTGTGAGAATGAGAGATGCATTCAGTCAAACGTCTGTGGACCTAGTTCCCAGTTAATCTTCATTTAGTTTTGTGGAGAACACAGGATTTGATTGCCAGAGAACTTATTTTGGGCTGCCAAATTAAGGCAGGGGATATCTTAATTTTGATTTTCATGTTTGACTGAAAATGGCAAAATATGTAACATTGCTATAGTGTTTAACTTTTACACTCTCTTAATCTATAACCTGTATCTAAGTCAAGTAAAGTAATTTTTGGTTTGAGGAAGTGACTTATTTTAAAAGTGTTCTTTCAAATTTTTCCAGTCTGATTTTGAGAGACTTCTAATTATTTTACAATTCAGTGATTCTTTATTCAAAATAAGTATTTTTGATTCTTCCATTTATAACCTTTTTTTTTAGAACTTTGCTTTTTGCATTAGTCTGAAGCAGAATTTACCTGCCCCCAAAAGTCTCCAAGTAGCACTGCTTGGTCATTCTGGTCAGTATTGGGAAGAGCTCCTTAACATACAACCTGAAATCTAGCCCCAGGTTTTCTGGTAACACCAGTGTAATCTTGGGATCTCCTAACTTCTGAATCTGTTTCCTCATTTGTTGGCCTAGACTTGTGTATTTTAAGGGCTAATGCTCAAATTCATTGGGCTCAGAATGATACTCTTGTGCGGTTAACCCTTAGCCACTTCTCCTTTTAGGAAAACTGCTAAGGGTTTAATCACACAAGAGTTTCATCTGACTTGCATTTATATCCAGGAGTGGAAAAATACACTTTTCAGTTCACTTGAGATTACAGGTTATAAGAGGAAGACGAATTTGTTGAACTCCTATAATGTACATCTAAGGCACTGTGGTAGACACTGGAAATACTGTACCATATAGGGCAGATGTGGTTCCTGCCCTCGCAGAGAGGCCTCATTGGTTCAAGAGCAGACTTCTCTATACCTCAGTTTCCTCATCTGTAAATTGGGTATAATGATAGCACCTATGTTATAGGGTTGTGGTTGGTACTAAATATGTTAAAATATGTAAAGTGCTTAGAACAGTGCCTAGATATATGCATGTTCTATGACCCTGCCTTCCACTTCTGGGTATTATACTCAACAGAAATGCATACATATGTCCATTGAGAGGCATGCAATTATTCATAAAAACTCCAATCTGGAAACAACTGGAATGTCCAACAGTGAAATAGATTTGAAAAAGTTATGGGATGCATGTTTATTTATTTATTAATTAAATATTGAGATGGGGGTCTCACTTTGTTGCCCAGACTGTTCTTGAATTCCTGGGTTCAAGTGATCCTTCTGCCTCAGCCTCCCAAAGTGCTGGGATTATAGACCTGAGCCATTGACTGCACCTGGCTGGGATTTATATTTTTACAATGGATTATTCTACAGCAATAAAAAATAACAGACTACTGAGTAAAATTGTGGGTAAATCTCACAAACAATGTTGAATGAAAGAAAAGTACATACTGTATGAATCCCAAACTAATCTATAGTGAAAGAAGTGAGAATAATGTTTACTGGGGACTGGAAGATGATTAATGACTGGGAGGCTTTTAGGGTGCTAGTAAGTTTTATGTCCTGAGTGATGGGTTTGGAATGTTTACTTTGTAAAATTTTAACTCTTCAATTTTTTTGTGTTTACTAAAAACAATTTCATAAATTATAAATCTATAAAACACTAAAACTGGATTATTTTAGAGATCCAGAGAAATGCAGTAATTAGCTCTGGTTGAGGAATTAGGGTCAAAGAGAGACTGGAACTCAGGTTTTCCCGTTATCTGTATTGTGAGCATTTTCTTTCTTCTGCATGGTATATTGCATTATATTATCTTTTCTGATGTCTGTGATGGGTTCGTTTGGAATTACAGCTCCATTATTAGGTTGGCTTCTGAGTTGGACTTACTTTCAGACTTATTAAAATGTTGGCCGGGCGCGGTGGCTCAAGCCTGTAATCCCAGCACTTTGGGAGGCCGAGGCGGGTGGATCACGAGGTCGACAGATCGAGACCATCCTGGTCAACATGGTGAAACCCCGTCTCTACTAAAAATACAAAAAAATTAGCTGGGCATGGTGGTGCGTGCCTGTAATCCCAGCTACTCAGGAGGCTGAGGCAGGAGAATTGCCTGAACCCAGGAGGCGGAGGTTGCAGTGAGCCGAGATCGCGCCATTGCACTCCAGCCTGGGTAACAAGAGCGAAACTCCGTCTCAAAAAAAAAAAAAAAGAAAGAAAGAAAGAAAGAAAAAGAAAAAAAAATGTTATATTCATTATTGACTACCTTTGAGGAACTGTGGATTTTTTTTTTTACATCTGTTAACAATCATTGTAACGACGATTGTTGCAATGTTTGTAACATTGTAACAATGTTTGTAACTGCAAAGTACAATATAAGGGACCATGGTAAATGAATAGTTATCTAACTCTGGGCAAGTTTTTATTTGCTTTCAGTGTTACTCTCACTCTTTTTCTTCTTCTTTTAAAATGTAAAATTTAGCTCCTACAGGAACTTTCACTCAATGAGCTATGAAAGAAATTATTTCTCAGCATTCTCTGCTCCAATACACTTCATAAACAATATATTTAGTCTAACTTATCAAGGACAGGAACAAATATTTCTGTTATCAGGAAAAAGCAACAAGTTTTTCACTGTGTGGAAGAACTTGGCATTTCTCAGGCTCTTACCATCTTCATGCACTTTTCTCTTGAAGCTCAAAGTTCCTTGGCTTTTGTTATGACCTTCAAATAATTCTTAAATAAAAACACAGGAAAAGAATCATTATATGACATCATCTGAAATACATTAGTTTTCAAGGGTTCAAGTATGCTAAAATAAGAACATCATTGAAGCAATTGGACAGATAAAGAATGAGTTAAGGCCGGGCGCGGTGGCTCAAGCCTGTAATCCCAGCACTTTGGGAGGCCGAGGCGGGTGGATCACAAGGTCAAGAGATCGAGACCATCTTGGTCAACATGGTGAAACCCCGTCTCTACTAAAAATACAAAAAAAATAGCTGGGCATGGTGGTGCGTGCCTGTAATCCCAGCTACTCAGGCTGGGATTACAGGAGAATTGCCTGAACCCAGGAGGCGGAGGTTGCGGTGAGCCGAGATCGCGCCATTGCACTCCAGCCTGGGTAACAAGAGCGAAACTCCGTCTCAAAAAAAAAAAAAAAAAAAAAAAAAAAAAAAAAAGAATGAGTTAAGAATTAGGAATATTTGGGTACAAGGTTTAGACAAAAGTTGAAACTTGGCTTAAATTAGATACCTATTTCTAATGATTTTTAAAGGGTCATTTGAGCATACGATAGCGTTAGGATTTTATTTTTAAAGTGTTTTTCTCTTGCTAAATGAAAATGCCAAGAGGAATAGCTGGATTTTTTTCTTTATTAATGTCAATTCCAAGGTTACCATGTTTCCATTTGGCTGTTTTGAGAGTTGGTTTTCTTAGGATGCATTCAACTTCTTCATAAAATCTCAGTTTTCTTTGAGGGTTGCCATTTTTTCTTTGTAAAATGCTATATTCATATTTTAAATTTTTATATTTGGTACGACATTGTTTCCGATCTCTGTCTATCCCAAACTGCATTCATCTTCTGGCAATTTCCTCAAATATTTTCTTGTTTCTTCTGGCCCCTTCAAGCATTTGTTTAATTTTTTCATCAGACCATATTCGTATCAATGCTCTGACCTCATTGTCACACCAGTATTTTCCAGCGTCTGTGTCACTCACTGTTATAATCTGTAAATGACTTTTAGCATCTTCTAAAGGATTACCTACAAATCAACATGATCTATAATTATTCAAACACAGATAAATCTTGGATTTGAATATCATTCATTTAAAGCAACTGGAATGGCATAAAGAAGCAAGAATAACATAAGGAAACAATAATAACTTCAATATGAGTCAAAAGAAATTTTGTGGGCTGGGCGCGGTGGCTCAAGCCTGTAATCCCAGCACTTTGGGAGGCCGAGGCGGGTGGATCACGAGGTCAAGAGATCGAGACCATCCTGGTCAACATGGTGAAACCCCGTCTCTACTAAAAATATAAAAAATTAGCTGGGCATGGTGGCGCGTGCCTGTAGTCCCAGCTACTCAGGAGGCTGAGGCAGGAGAATTGCTTGAACCCGGGAGGCGGAGGTTGCGGTGAGCCGAGATCGCGCCATTGCACTCCAGCCTGGGTAACAAGAGTGAAACTCCGTCTCAAAAAAAAAAAAAAAAGAAAAAAAAAAAGAAATTTTGTGTACATATTCAAACAGTATATTCTAAAAATTATAAGATAGACTGTTCCCCATTATTAGTGAGAATAATTTAACTGCTTTTCATCATAGGCGATCTTCACTAGATATTTATGAATATGGAGAGTCCCAGTGTTTACTTAACTTCTTTTAGTGAGAAGTAGGTATAGACATTTTCTTTCTTCCTCTACCATATTCTCTACCAACTCAGGTATAAGGAAGCATTTTTAGGTAATACACAGTAGAGATCTTCTTTATTACTACTTAAAATGGTATATAGTAGACTTCACATATCAAAATGACATTTAAAATTTACCAATTTAGACCCTGCACTGGACCCAGTGTTATTTTGGGGTGTAGTGGGGCTGTCCATCACTTCTGAGGCAATACATAAGGAGTCTTTCTCTGCCAGAAAATAAGCACAATAGCAATTTAAGTTTGATGTTTACAAAACTGTAATCTACTTTTGCAATTGGAGATTATGCTGAAAAAGCAGTAGGGCTGGATTCCAGCATGAAAGCTGTAACCTTAAAGCTCAGAACCTTTGCCATCTTTAAACATATTTCAAAATGGCCTTAACCGTGTTGTGGTGGCATATGTCTCTAGTCTCCATTTCTCAGAGGCTGAGGCAGGAGGATCACTTGAGTCCAGGAGATTGAGGATGTGAGCTATTATTATACCACTGCACTCCAGCCTTGGTGACAGAGCGAGACCCTGTCTGAATGAATGAATGGCACTGTAAATTTATCTCCTTAAAAATCTTCGAGTATCCTGTTTTAACATCACAAAGAAGTATGCTGCACTTGGGAGTATGATGGCACTTGTAGACCCAGTTTGGTAACATTTGTTTATTGTGACACTTTAATGCTTGACTCAGAGCTCTTATGTCAGTTCTCATATGAGCCTCACTGTAACTAAGAATGATCCTTATTACAATACATATAAAGAAATAAAAGACTCAAGATTTACTAGTCTTGGGAGTTTTCACATTGAGACGTTAGTGGAAGAGTTTGACCAGGTCAATTAAGACAACCAGACAGGATATAAACAGCTAATGGAACTTAGATGCTTAGCCCAATAAATATATATTAATTTATTCTGGTATAGCAGTACATATATAGGATGCTAACAAGTGAACTGGGGGGAACACCACAGCAAATGACATGTTGGATTTCTGAGTGGAAGCCTATTTAATGTGTGATATAGTACTCATCCTAGCTGTACTTTCCTATGTACTGGGACATCATTATTATTATTATTATTATTATTATTATTATTATTATTTTAAAATACTCTACAGCCTGTGGGAAAAACTTAAATTTAAAAATTCTTTACGTGTAAAAGATCAGTAGAAGAGAAAGAACATTACTCTGGGATACCTCACGAAAACTACAACCAGTAAGTGGGCATGGCAACTGACGATGTACAGCAGGGGGTGGCGGGGGAGGTCTCCTCCACAGAGCTTTCCAGCAGTCAGTTCCTCTCATCTTAAATTCTACTAGGTTTCAATTCTGAATACTTTTTCAGGCCTTAGGAAATTTTTTTCTTTTTAAGAGTTAGGCTCTCACTACGTTGCTGAGGCTGGCCTGGACCTACTGGGCTCGAGATCTTCCTGCCTCAGCCTCCCAAATAGCTGGGACCACAGGTGCACACCACCATGCCTAGTGCCTCATGCAAATTTGAAAATGTGTTTAAATCACTCTTGTTGGATATAATTTTTTTTTTTTTTTTTTTTTTTTTTTTTTGAGACGGAGTTTCGCTCTTGTTACCCAGGCTGGAGTGCAATGGCGCGATCTCGGCTCACCGCAACCTCCGCCCCCTGGGCTCAGGCAATTCTCCTGCCTCAGCCTCCTGGGTAGCTGGGATTACAGGCACGCGCCACCACGCCCAGCTAGTTTTTTGTATTTTTAGTAGAGACGGGGTTTCACCATGTTGACCAGGCTGGTCTCGATCTCTTGACCTCGTGATCCACCCGCCTCGGCCTCCCAAAGTGCTGGGATTACAGGCTTGAGCCACCGCGCCCGGCTAGGATATAATTTTTAAAAGATGGTGATAGAAATGTAAAATGGTGAAGTCATGGTGGAAAACGGGTAGTTTCTCAGAAAGTTTAAGCATATGCTAGATGACAAGGCATTTCCACTCCTACATATAAACCCAGGAGAATTGAAAACATGTTCACATAAAAACATGTACCTCCTGTGGAAAAACAGTATGGCTGGTCCTGAAAAAATTAAACACAAATTACCATGTGATCAGCAATTCCAATTCTAGGTATATACCCAAAAGAATTGAAAGCAGAGACTAAAGCAGATATTTATACACCCACATTCATAGCAGCACTATTCAAAATAGCCAAAGGCAAAAATAACCCAGATGACTATCAGTGGATGAACAGATAAACAAAATGGTGTATCCATACAATGGAATATTATTTAGCCTTAAAAAGGAAGGAAATTCTAATAAATGCTACAATATGGAAGAACTTTGAAGAGAAGTGAAATAAGCCAGGCACAAATGGACAAATATTGTATGATTCCACTTATATGGGGTACCTAGAATAGTCAAATTCACAGAGACAGGAAGGAAAATAGTGGTTACCACTAGCTAAGGAGAATTGGGATAGGGGTGTTATTGTTTAACGGCTACAGAAGTTTCAGTTTGGAACGATGTAAAAGTTCTGGAGATGGAGGGGGTGATGTTTGCACAACAATGTGAATGTACTTATGGATATAATGGTAAATTTTATGTTTATTTTACCAAAATGGAAAAATAATTGTCAGAATGTTTATAGCAACAGTATTCATAAGAGCTAGAAAATGGCAGAAATTCAAATCTGTCATCTGATGAATGGGAAAATAAAATAAGGTATGTTAATAAATTGGAATATTATTGAGCCATAAAAAGGAATGGAATATTGATATATGCTACAACATGGATGAACTATGAAACAAAAGAAGCCAGACACAAAAAACTGTATATTGGAGGGTACAACTTATGTCCAGAATAGGCAAATCCATAGAAACAGAAAGTAGGTTAGTGGTTGCCAGGGTTTTCTGAGGTGTGGACAAGCAGTTAAACTACTAATGAACATGGGGTTTCTTTGTGGGGTGAGCAAAATGTTCTAAAATGGGATAGTGGTGATTATTGTATAACTGAATATACTAAAAACCAGAGGGTAATATGCTTTAATTGAGTGAATTTGATTTTATGTAAATTACATATCAAAAAAGAAGAGTTGCTGAGGTTTGAGAATAGAAAAGTAAAGATAGGGCAAGTGTGCAGGTTAATGCAGTGATGACTTTGGGAAGTTATGAGGGAACTAAGGAAACATGAACTGCATTGCACCGAGCTTCCAAACCTTCCTCTGAGCCAGAGTTTTTATGATATGATTAAGTCAACCTCCAGCCTCACTCTACTCCATGGTGGTTGCACTGGCACAAAGCTCCAACCTTCATCACATGGTTGGTCTTCTGTGACTAGCCTCCATCTTGAAGCTATCTGGGAACCCACCTAGAGTAGCCTCATTAACATAACAAAGATGCTTATGTCTCTGGAAATTCCAAAGGTTGTTGGTGCTCTGTGCCTGGAACAGGAGACCAAAACTAGATATATTCTTTATTATGCCACAGCTTCTTAAAAGTTTATTAAATATTATCAACAGTACAAATTAGAAAAATCATGCCTTCATAATTAACAAGTTACCTATATTTAAGTTTAGCAGCACACCTATGTCTGAGCTTTCTTTTTTCACATTTGTAAGTCTTGGGTTTTCTGAAGTTTTAGAAATCAGTTGTTCTCTGTCTAGATCTACTATTAGATTAAAATGAAAAGTTCTCAGTAACATTGTGTCTCATGTGACTAAAGTACATTAATTTATGTAACGATTTTCCTGCTAAGATTATACAAATTATAATGCATGCAAAACATATAAAAGTGTTTAAATATTCCATGTTTAAGGAAAATTATTCCAATTTCTTTCTTTTGGAGAGATAAATGAATTCGAAGAAAACATAATTCTTGGCATACCCTTTGAGATGATAACAATAGATTCCTTAATGCCCCCTGCTGGCCATCTCATTGTGAATTTTTTGAATTATGGAAATAGTAAAGATTTTAATTTTGGAAATACGTTTTACTACAATCAAAAGAAAAATGGGCATTTTTATGGTTATTCTTAGGTAAACATCGAGGTATTTCACTTGTGATTTTTAGGCTGAAGATCAGTGTGACCGCCTCTAATAGGATATATTTTACTACCATGGAACTTCTGTGCTCATTTTAGTGTGCCTAGCTCCACTCCTCTGACCTAAAATGGTTTAACTGTGACTGTCCTATACTAGAAAGCAGTGGTTTGCGAGAATGCAGAGATAAAGAGGCATTCCAACTCAGATAAGTGGCAGTGATATTGGAGATAAATTAAGTCAATTTTGTTTCTCTGACTCAGAAGAGACAGGCAGGTGATAAGATTGTCAAACACAAATTTTCTCTTTTGGCAAAGTCCTTTCTCCTTTGATAACTTCTTGATTCCCTCTTTTTTTTTTTTTTTTTTTTTTTTTTTTAATTCTGGCAGGTTTCATTTAATCTTGATTCCTTTTATCCTCTCTTGCTTGTGCCTCAGACCAGGGAGGAAAATCAATTATGTTTTAGATCCAAAGAACTAGTTAATTCAATTTTCTTGGGCCATTTGTTTTTACTTAATATAGTAGGAATAGTTGGAAGAGTCTGTGATTCTTCTCCGTGATTAATTTCCTTCATATTCCATTAGTCATTAATTTTTAAGTGATGATTTATTGGCATTAGCAATTTTTTTTCCCTGAATGGAATCAAATTGAAACTTCTGTGTTAATCAGACCTCTGCTGGTCTGAGCATGAGAACCTAGCTATGGTTTCCAGTGCTTGAGAATCGTCGAAAAGTACGGGTGCCTGAACTGACACCAACCTATTGGATCAAAATCTCCAGAAGTTCCAAATTGGGAACCAATCTAGATATTCAGAATCCAAGGGGTCTACAGTTCTAGCTGGATTTTCATTTGAAGGAAGGAGAAGCTTATGGCTTATAGCATACATTTAAGATAGCAAAGAGAATACTTTTGGGGCACCAGATTTTTGGCCAGATGTCGAAGTTAACAATATGGAGCTATTATTAATAATAACAACTCCAACTTCAAAATTTCATCAGTGAAATAAATAAAAATGAAGTGACCTCTGCTTTTACATGTATATACATGTTGTTCTTTTAAAGAAAGGGTGATATGTTGCTGTTTTAAAGAAAGACTATTTCATGTGAATTTTTTTCCCTGAAGATAAATAATCCATAGTTTTATACCTCAATACTACATTCTACATTCTTCCTAATAGGGGAGTGGCAATTTGTGAATCAATAGGTATCTATTGCAGGTGTACCTAAAATCCTTGCCTGTTGAAGTTTTTTTCATATGTATTTAGCTGCTGAGATCCTTGTGGATTTATATCTTTGCTTTGTATTTTCATGTGACAGTTTCATATAATTTCTAGAATAACTGTATTTGTCCTATCTCATATTTTCTAAATATATTTTAAATACTTCCTATTTGGCATGTTTACAAAAAACAAAACAAAACAAAAAAAACCTTGTACTTCTGACTTAATCTTTTCCTTTTACATATAAAAAATTATTGACTGGGAGCAGTGTCTCATGCCTGTAATCCCAGCGCTTTGGGAAGCCAAGGAGGGCAGATCACAAGATCAGGAGATCGAGATCATCCTGGCCACCATGGTGAAACCCCATCTCTACTAAAAATACAAAAAATTAGCTGGGCGTGGTGGCGCACGCCTGTAGTCCCAGCTACTCCGGAGGCTGAGGCAGGAGAATTGCTTGAACCTGGGAGACAGAGATCACGCCACTGCACTACAGCCTAGGTGACAGTAACGAGACTCTGTCTCAAAAAAAAAAAAAAGAAAAAAAATTATCTTGATGTTGTACTTAAGTTTCCAGAGGACTAACAAGCTAAAATCTTCTTAGTACTAAAGCTCTTAACTTTTTAAATCTTTTTTTCTTATTAAACAGTGTAGTAATCTGATTTTCTTCCTATTTTTAATTTAATTTTATTTTCTTCCTAGTTTTAATTTTATTTTTATGAGTTAAAAAAAAATAGAGATGGGTTCTTGCTGTGTTGCCAAGGCTCGATTCAAACTCCTGGGCTCAAGTGATGCTTCAATCTTAGCATCCCAAGAAGCTGGAATTACACAGGCGAGCACCACTGCACCTGGCATAATTAGATTTTTAACTCTTAATGACAAAGGCCATTGCTGTGAAACTAAAGAATCTGTCCTGTCTGGTAAATCAAACAAATAAGTTTGCCAGGAGTATAGGAAAATTTTATTAACTAGTTCGTTAAATTAACATTGAGCTTTACTCTTTGTAAGGTTATGTGACGCTTTGGACTGAAACGCTAGGTACAGGTCTTTTTAATAGATAAGCTTCAGCTTGGAGGCTTGGTGATCTCCTCCCCAGTGTGGATTTGTGTAGAAGACATAAACTATCAGCAAGCACACAATCTCACATCCACACCCTTAGTGCCTTATACCAGAGGGTAATGGTTCTCAAATATGCTTGCATCATTATCACCTGGAAGACTTGTTAAAACAGATTGCTAGGCCCCAACACCAGAGTTTCTGATTCTGGATGGGGCCCAAGATCTTGCCTTTTGAATAGGTTCTCAATTAATGCTCATGCTGCTACACTTGGAGAAAAACAGCCATGGGGAACATTACTTCCATTAATTATTTTCACCTTCCATTTATGTGTTTTGAGTTGTGATCCAACAGTAATTCATACGATATTATACATAATTTCTTAGGTATGGTAGCATCTATTAATATATAGATGTGAAATCTAAAACCCACCATGAGGCACCACTCTCATGACCTCATTAATGGAAAGCTAGTTATCCTTCAAAAGCCCTGTCTCCCAGTATATCAGATGGCGGGGGTCAAGGCTTCAACATATGAGTATTGGTGGGAGGAACACAGCTCAGGCCATAGCAGTGTCTGTCTTACAATAGCATAAATCTATTTTGTCACACACAAAACCAAAACAAACAAACAAAAACCAAATAAAAATCAGAATATTCTTTTACCTGTGTCAGGACTTTGTTTTGTATCTGTATCTCCTCTGTCTTCTGACTTATTACTGACCGAATCACCTTCAGCTACATCTCCAGCAATGGCTGTATGAATATAAGGAGATATATATATCGACTTTTTATATTTACTTCAGAATCGTGTTTTATTTATTTGTTTTTGAGGCGGAGTTGCCCAGTTACACTCTGTTGCCCAGACTGTAGTTCGGTGGTGCAATCTCGGCTTACTGCAGCCTCTGCCTCCCAGGTTCCAGGGATTCTCATGCCTCAGCCTCCCGAGTAGCTGGGATTACAGGCATGCGCCACCATGCCTAGCTAATTTTTTTGTGGATTTTTTAGTGGAGATGGGATTTTGCCATGCTGACCAGGCTGATCTCCAGCTCCCAGCCTCAAGTGATCCACCCATCTTGGCTTTTATAGGCGTGAGCCACAGCGCCTGGCCCGGAATCATGCTTTAAATCCGAATGTAGTATTTTCCTTTTTAAAGGTACTCTAATACTAAATATTTGCTTTTCCATAGGTTAGATTTCCTACCCTTAAGCATCTTTTTGTCACTGTAAATAATGGATATGTATCTAGTCTCTAACTAGATATTCTGACATAACTAATGGAATCATCTTTAGCTGCATCTCCAGCAATGACTGTATGAAGATACCATGCCCCTGCTGTTGGGTTGCTTTATCTATAGTCATCTTACTAGGGGAAATGTATAGTTCTGTAGCATACCAGTTTCTTTCTTGCCCACCAGTGAAACATTTTAAAATTTCTCACCATCATTTCCATTCTTTTTTTTTTTTCTATATTTTCCCCCCGCCCCAGCAGTTCCATTCTTAACTGTCTATTCCCTGGACACACACTCTCATCATTTAAGCCAGACAATAGAATCTGGAGACACTGTGGTTAGCAGAGGTCTTTAAGACCATCTTGGTCACTCTTTCCCATTTTGGAGTTAGGTCTAGAGCAGCGGTCTCCAGCGTTTTTTGGCACCAGGGACTGGTTTCATGGAAGACAGTTTTTCCATGGACCAGGGAGTGCAGGAGCTGTGGCTTGGGGATGATTTAAATGCATTACATTTATTGTGCACTTTATTTCTATCATTATGACAGTATAATATATAATAAAATAAGTATACAACTCTCTATAATCTAGAATCAGTGGGAGCCCTGAGCTTGTTTTCCTGAAACTAGATGGTCTCATCTGGGAGTGATGGGAGGCAGTGACAGATCATCAGGCATTAGATTCTCATAAGGAGCAGAGAACCTAGATCCCTCTCTTGCATAGTTCACAACAGTCTCTCTTCTCTAGTGTTCTAATCTATTGTAAGAATCTAATGTTGCTGTTGATCCGACAGGAGGTGACACTCAGGTTGTAATATGCATGATGGGGAGTTTTTGTAAATACAGATGAAGTTCATCCACCACTCACCTCTGGCTGTGCAGAGGTCACGGACCGGTATCAGTCCAGGTGTTGGGGACCCCTGGTCTAGAGGAGACATTTGGTTACTTGAGGTTCCACAGAACCTTAGAACTTTGATTTCCTGAATCCTGGTGCAGAACTTGTTCAGTTTATTTCATGCTATTCATGTCTTTGTGTGTATGTACTGTATCTCAATCCTTTGGTTTAAATATATTTTAAAGACATTTATGATGGGTCCCAGAGAAACTTACTACTTCTAAGAAAGTCTCATGTATTTTATAGGTTTCTAAGTTCTTCAGTGCCCTTTTTCTATCCTATTCAGTTTTACCACAATTAGTATGAAAATTTACTTTAACTTCTGCCATCTGGGGTTGCATATTTGCATTATTAAAATTGATCTATTTTAAACTTTATTTTGGGAATCCAGTTTTATTTTCTCCTTTTAGTATAACTATACTGTTTCTGTTCTGGGGGAGATGAAATATATACTAAATCTGTTTTGTAGTAAATTCAGCCAGCTTGTCAAATAGCATGTAATGAAACCTATATAACTTACATGTATAATATTCTTATGCTACTGAACATTCTCAATAGACGTTGAGCATCTCTAATCTGAAATCTGAAATGCTACAAAATCTGAAACATTTTGAGCACCAACACGATGCCACATGTGGAAAATCATACACTTGAACTCTTGTGATGGGTACAGTCCAAACTTTGTTTCATGCACAAAATTTTTTAAAGTACTGCATAACATTAGCTTCAAGCTATATATATGAAACACACATGAATTTCATGTTTGGACTTGGGTGTCCTTTCTAAGATACCTCACTACGTATATGCAAATATTCTAAAATCTGAAAAAATTCTAAATCTAAAACACTTCTGATCCCAGGCATTTTGGAAAAGAGATCCTTGAACCTGTATGATGTAACATGATGTTAAGATTACTTTTCTTCACCTTCCTACCTGTCTGGTCCTCTCCCATTTTTACGTTGGCACATTCTGTGACAGGTTCTCCATCTTGGGATTCCTGGTCTCGTGATTTTTCTGTTTTATTGTGTCCCAGAATGGCATCCAACTCAGTGAAAAATTTCATACTCTTAGTCATGCCTAGGTCTTGTGCTGTTCTTACGATCTTGTATTCATGTTTTAGGTTTTTGTACTTTGTTCTGCATTGCTTCCAGTCTCTCTCTATTCCAAATTTCTGAAGCTTGGCAGCAATTTGTTCAAATATCCTTTTATTTCTCACTGTTCCCTCTAGTTGTCGTTGTATGCTTTTATCAGACCAGATGTCTATTAGAGCCCTGACTTCTGGCACAGTCCAGTGCTTTCCTCCTTCATTTGCTACAGTTGGGATAAAAGTTGTATTAGAGGGTTCCAATATTTTCATAGAGATACCTGCATTAGGTGGAGAGGTAAAAGAAATATGTATTATATACATCAGCAAGGTAAATAATTGGATGCAACATTATTAAAGAAAGCAATTTCCTCCATAGGAGATAGAGTAACAAATCATAGCTTAGCTTTTCTCTTAAACAGTGGGGAAACAAAATACAGAACCTAAATCTGTTCATTATTATGCCAGTTACTGGCTTTAATAAAGTTGTGTTTTTTTTAGTCACATTTTGATCATCTTTCCTCCATACCATTTCTTTCTCTTCCATACCACTCCTTTAGTATGTAGGGTGTATATCAGTGTGTAATGAAAGTTCAGTATATAAATGTGTAGTCTTTACTGTAGAAAGCAATCATTACATAAGAAAATGGCTCATTGTAGATAATTTGTTTTGAAATAGGACAGGTACAAACAATTTAACTCCTTCCTTTTTCCTTTATCTTATGATTTCCTTTGGCTATATATCAGTCTACTGGGAAGCATTTAAAAACCACCACTCTGGTACCTGCCTCATCCCTCATCTCCAGATAATGAATCTAATGTGTAGACAGGGTTGAGAACTGAGGCTACTCATGAGTTCAGGGCTTGGAAGAGTCACACAGAACAGTGTGACTCTGTTCTTCAGTGCTTATGCCTTGGAAAATTATAGAAACTAAAGCCATTTTAAATGAAGTATGTTCCTTTAATGGTAGGGAAATATGTCAGAAATTTCATAACGCCTTGCTCCTAGGCAGTATGTCTCCACTTAGGTATAAATCCTTTAATATGCCATGCTGCATATTAGGTTTCTAGCACAGTTTTATACTTCATTTACATTACTGACAGTACTTGATATTATATTGTAGATATTTTGAACAACCGTATTATCTTGTGTTTTTCTCAGATTTCATGTTCATAAAATAAGTAGGTTCATTTTTTGAATTAAAAAATGACAAGCACATGAACTTTGTTTTTTGTGTGTGTGTGTGTGTTTTTTGTTTGTTTGTTTGTTTGTTTGTTTGTTTTTGAGACAGGGTTTCAAATTGGATGCAATATTATTAAAGAAAGGAATTTTTGGCTGGGCATGGTGGCTTAGGCCTATAATCCTAGCACTTTTGGAGGCCAAGGCAGGTGGATCACCTGAGCTCAGGAGTTGGAAACCATCCTGGGCAACAGGGCGAAACCTGTCTCTACAAAAAATGCAAAAATTAGCCATTCAGGAGGCTGAAGTGGGACGATTGCTGGAGCCCAGGAGGTGGAGGTTGCAGTGGGCCAAGAATATGCCACTACACTCCAGCCTGGGTGAAAGAGTGAGATCGTGTCTCAAAATAAGATAAAATAATTTTTTAAAAAAAAGAAAGTAATTTTCTTTCACCAAGGCTAGAGTGTAGTGGTAAGATCACAGCTCATTGCAGCCTGAACCTCCCAGGCTCAAGCGAGCTTCCAGAGTAGTTGGGACCACAGGTTCAGGCTACCATTCCTGACATTAACATTTTGTTTGCATTAAAAATAATCTTCGCCGGGCGCGGTGGCTCAAGCCTGTAATCCCAGCACTTTGGGAGGCCGAGGCGGGTGGATCACGAGGTCGAGAGATCGAGACCATCCTGGTCAACGTGGTGAAACCCCATCTCTACTAAAAATACAAAAAATTAGCTGGGCATGGTGGCGCGTGCCCGTAGTCCCAGCTACTCAGGAGGCTGAGGCAGGAGAATTGCTTGAACCCAGGAGGCGGAGGTTGCAGTGAGCCGAGATCGTGCCATTGCACTGCAGCCTGGGTAACAAGAGCAAAACTCCGTCTCAAAAAAAAAAAAAAAAAATCTTCAAGATTAATCATAATTTATTTTGTTTCTTTTTTTCCCTGAGACTCTGTTGCACAAGCTGGAGTACAGTAGCACAGTCATGGCTCACTGCAGCCTTGAACTTCTGGGCTCAAATGAGCCTCCTGCCTCAGCCTCACAAGTAGCTGGGATACAGGCATGCGCCACTGCACCTGGCTAATTTTTAACACTTTTTATAGACATGGGGGTCTCACTATGTTGCCCAGGCTGTTCTCAAACTCCTGGCCTCAAGTGATCCCTGACCTTGGCCTCCCAAAGTATTGGGGTTACAGATGTGAGTCACTGTGCCTGGCCATAATTTAAAACTAAATATTACAATTAATGGTTCAGTAATATTTAATTGAGTTTAGGTTTTGGCCCCCATCATTGAAATGGTATTGTAATTAATAACTTTTGTCAGGTTCACTAAAGAAGTAGTTTAGATCCCAGCATCTATAATGAGTTTAAGTCATTGAAAAAAAACTTGATAGCATTTACTTGGGATATTTTGTGGTGTATTTAATGTCTTTGCTTTGAAATGCTTTTCTGAATTTTTTCTTAATTGGGTGAACAAATAAGTTTTTCTATTATTTGAGTTAGAAGTAAGGTTTTTGCTTCTAGCTTCAATACGAAATTGGAAGCAAAGATGAATTTACATTGAATTTAATTCGTTGGGTGATTAAAATTATCCTTGATCTGGTTGTGGCTCTGATGTTTACTTTCAAACATAAAATTCTGTTTGTCTTAATCCCTTACCTCGACACTAAGGTAATCATGCTCATTACTATGTGTAAGTTTAGCCATCAGATTTCTTATAATATTTAAAGAATAAATTTTAGAAATTAGAGAGCCAATATTTCTAGGAAACTTAAATTTGGTAAAGAAATAATTTGCTTTAGAAATAATTTTTTTCAGTATGGGTTGGTAAAAAGAGAGGAAAACATACATTAATTCTGAGTGTTTCTTCCAGGAAAAATTGTTCATTTTCTCAGATTAGAAACCAATCTTATCTTCCAGTTTGAAATTAGATCAATTTCACTCTGTTTCACCCATGTACTGTACCTAGTTCCATTGGTCTGACATGAGAAACCAAAAGTAAAGGATTTCCTGAGACATCTTCCTTATCTTCTAATGCAATTGACATTTTACCTGGAAATATAACAGAATTCCCCTTAGAAATAACATGACTAATAATGCTAATACCTTTAGCTCATTGTGATCATATTCTTGAAAATAGATTTGTGATAGACATTTTGTAACAGAATTATATAATATGGCTTAAATATTTATGTATTTAAAGAGAAATCTAATTATTTCCATCCCATTGACATAGTCTATTTTGGGCTTCTACTAGAATTGTTTGATAATTCTGTAAGTTTTTAGAGATGGTTGTAGTTAGTTTTCAAGTTAAATTACATTTTTAAAATGTGGCATTTTATTTTTAATTGTATCTTGGGTGCTTTAACCGAGTAGGCACTTGCTAAATAATACCAGTAGTGTAAAAGAGGGGTCCTGTAATGAGATAGAAAATGCAGTTTTATTGGTGCATATAATCAAATAGCTTAGAGTTCATAAGTACCTTATGTAATTTATTGATTGAAACATACTCATTTTCAAGAAGTTAATGTAAATTATATTTAAATAGGCTAAGGAATATGTCATTTAAAAGAACCATGCCAACCATAAAACATGAAGTCCTTCTTTGATTTCCTTGTTTTATGGTTTCGATGCTTTTATATAGGATTTCATAAAATGAGGCCACTTTTTAAAGTGATCTATAGACTGGGCGCAGTGGCTCACGCCTGTAATCCTAGCACTTTGGGAGGCTGAGGTGAGTGGATCACCTGAGTTCAGGAGTTCAAGACCAGCTTGGCCATCATAGTGAAACCCCATCTTAAAAAAATATATATATATTAAAGTGATCAAATGAGGAGGATGAAGTACATCATAGAAAGGAACCCAACTTTTATGATTTTTAACTCAATTGACACACGAGGATAAACTATAATTACTGTGAAGTTGCAGACTAACCGGGTGGTGGATAAGTATCTTTCAATTGCTTTTTGTAATGTTTCAATTAAAAATTTACTCATCTCATTAGTCATCTTAATTCCAAATGTTTTTCCAGTTCTTTTTCACTGAATAACAGAAGTAGCATTGTATTTTGCATTAATAGATCACATTAGTGTGATTTTAATGGCATAAACATTCATTTAAAATCATGATTCACCATTATGTTTACAGGCATTCCCATTGAAGAAAAAGAAAAGGTAGGCTGTTTATCGCCTTAGAAAGTCTATTAGGGTTTCTATGTTAAAGTAGGAAAACATGAAAAATAAGCATAAGTACAAAAAGACCTCACGGCTTTCAATATTTTTATAAACTCATAAGGTAAAAAATTTCAAAAATTTTAAATCAGGTTTTATAATTGCTTGAGGCTAAAATGTAGTTGAGGAATGTTTTAGATTTGGTTGAAAATTGGGAAAATAAAAATCTGGAGTTATGTAAGAATTATCTTACAGAAACAGGGGAAAATGCTAATATGCTCAGGTTATTTAACAACCGAGCTTGAGTATGAGAGCAGTAAACAAAGGCAAGGTTTCTCTTCTCTTACCTGGTTTAGAGTCCAGATTTACCACCATAGAAAAGAGTCTGGACCAAACATTCAGTTGATAGCAAAACAGAAAAGCTCTCTCTCCAACCTCTTCAGAGAATTTTTTCTTAAGTTGCTTATTCCATAGCATGAATCCTAAAACTGTAGGCAGCGCTCTGGGGATTTTAAACTGAAACACTTAAATCATTACTTGCAATGCATTTGTATAAAATAAGAGGAGCGAAATAGAGGGGAAACTTGACCACTGAAGGAATGTGGCTTGGCAGCATAGGCCAAAGGAATCCTGAGGCTGAGGATGATCAGATTTAGCAGAACATGAAGCCTCCTAGAATTGGTTAAAAGTGTATTTGGGTCCTTTGCCATGGCTCTGGCTCTGGCTACTTGCTGCCTAACAAGTAGCTTCTCTGCTGGTTCCGCCGTAGGAAAAAACCAGAAGACATTATATAATGAGTCAAACCTGGTGCAAGGAGCGCTTCCTGAGCTTTAGGGAGAAAGCTTTGATCACCTTAAAAATTTCTGGATTCTACAGGTCAAATAAATCATAAGGCAAGAGAAGTCATGCAAATTTCTAAGAACCCCAACTGACATAAACAGTCAGTTTGTAAAAGTGAATAAATGTATACAAAAGTGTTCCACCTTACTGATAATTAAACAAATGCAAATTAAAAGTTAACAATTTGTGTATCATTATAGGCTATTGTTTCTTAAATTAGCCTAATTTGTTTATTTAGAGATGAGTTTTGCTCTTGTTGCCCATGCTGGAGTGCAATGGCGAGATCTCAGCTCACAGCTACCTCTGCCTCCTAGATTCAGCAATTCTCCTGCCTCAGGCTCCTGAGTAGCTGGGATTACAGGCACCCACCACCATGCCCGGCTAATTTTTTTGTATTTTTAGTAGAGATGGGTTTTACCATCTTGGTCAGGCTGGTCTCGAACTCCTGACCTTAGCCTCCCAAAGTGCAGGGATTACAGGCATGAGCCACTACACCTGGCCTAAAACCTTATTTATTAAATCTGGAAAGTCCCTTCTTTCCATGGCTGATGAAGTACAATTTTTTTGGAAAGCAGTTATTTTAGAAATAATGTTTGTTTCAAAGTAATGGACAGGTGTGGTGCCTCAGGCCTGTAATCCCAGCACTTTGGGAGGCCAGGGTGGGAGGATCACTTGAAGACAGGAGTTCGAGACCAGCCTGGTCAACATGGTGAAAGCCTGTCTCTACTAAAAATAGAAAATTGGCTGGGTGTGATGGCTTGTGCCTCTAATCCCAGCCTGGGAGGCTGAGGTAGGAGAACTACTTGAACCTGGGAGGCAGAGGTTGTGGTGGGCTGAGATCCCACCACTGTATTCCAGCTTGGGTGACAGAGTGACACTCCATCTCAACAAAGCAAAACAAACAAACAAAAAAACAACAACAAAAAAAAACCCAAGTAATTATACCCCCTGAATCAGTATTAGAACTTGTGTCCTAGGGTAATAATGCTAAAAATTGACAAAAGTTATTAATTGCAGTATCATTTGCATGAGGTGGGATGAAGACCTAAACTCAGTTAAATATTATGGAACTGTTGTTTTTCATATTTAATTTTAAATCATAATTAATCATGGGTATAAAGATTATTTTTAATGCAACCAAGATGTTAATGTGCTTGTAATTTTATAATTGAAAAAATATACATAACAACTAGAGGCATTGTGGAAAGTATATGGGAAGAGGTTGAAAACTAGGGAGCCCAGTAAAGAGGTTACATTAATATTTCATGTGGGAGATGATGAAGTTCTGGTTAGTCATAATGAGAATAGAGCAGAGAGAAAATTTTGTGTAGTGTGTCACCAGATTTTTTAAAGACTTAGTGACTGACCAGAAATCAAGGATATCTCAAACGTTTCTCTATAAATGATTGGAAATATAGTGATGCTAAGGTGGAAGCGATTTGTATGAGGATCAGATTTGGGCTAGACATGGTGGATCATGCCTGTAATCCCAGCACTTTGGGAGGCTGCAGTGGGATAATCTCTTGAGCCTAGGAGTTCAAGACGAGGTAAGGCAACATGGTTAAACCACATCTCTACTAAAAATACAAAAAAAGTAGCTAGACTTGGTGGCTCATGCCCATATAGTCCCAGCTTTTCAGGAGGCTCAGTTGGGAGAATCACTTGAGTCCTGAAAGTTGAGGCAACAGTGAGCCGAGATTGCGCCACTGCACTCCAGCTTGGCTGACAGGAGTAAAACATTCTCTCTGAAAAAAAAAAATTGATGGGAGAAGACAGAGTTTGCTTTTGGAATTGGGGGTTTGAGGTACCTAAACATACATGGTTAAACTGTAAGTATAGTCCCTCTGTTTATGAGTGAAGGAGTTTGGAGCCAAGGGAGTACATGAAAGGGCTGAAGATTGCTTTTAAGAAATGGAGATACTGGCATCCACATCTTAATCAGACCAACTCCTGGTTAAAATTGGGGACTTTCAGAAGCTAAGCAATTTACTTGTTTATTAATCAATATTTAAAGCACTTAAATGATGAAGAGTTGAGGATGTTTAACTGAATAAAATAATGTAATTGCTGTTGAACATGGTAATAACTGCAAAGCTTTCTCAGAATTTAGTGTCATCTCAGAATTTGGTGTCATCTCAGAAATGGAAAGAGTGTAGGCAGGGTGGATTCTTCTTTTAACAAAATGATTTGTTACTGAGCTGTAAGTATGAAAATTAGCCAACTTAAGTTAACCAGTTGTAATCTTTGTCCTCTTAACCCCATTCACATTTGGTACTTTTATTATACTGTTTACTGTTTTCTCTCAGGTGTTAGATTTATTTGCAGTTCCATCCTTTTTGAGGAGTGCTTTGCCCGTAGTACACACAGATAGTGGGTATTACGGATACTTGATTAATTCTGCTCTTAAAAATAGCATCTATAATTTCTATTGTGGTAGAAATCTCATTACTGTCATTGTTTTTCCTCCCTTTGCCTGTTAATGCTTCTAAAGACAATGAGCAGATTCTACGTAAATAGTATTGGGTTTAACAACACAGTAGGTCATGAAACCCCTCTAAATCATTTAGTCTCAGATCATTTCATCTATTAAATCTTTATTTTACTTCATTGTTAAAACTGAGATGTTATTCTAAACAAGTAATGAAATAGTGTTGAACAGTTATTTTAAATGTGCTTTTATTTATAATTTAGGAAAATGGAAACATTAAAATAAAGGAGAAAAGTTCTCTTGTTTCGAGCTGTGGGAAAACATCAGTTGAGCAATGTTTTTGATATTTTAACCCTTTTCTGCCACTCTTATAAAATTAAAACTTAAACTGTTTTTAGAACCCAATCCATATTTCAAAAACATATCACATGCAGTTGGCACTAGCAGTGCCATTTTAATGTGCTTTTTTTCTGTATTTTATGCAGATTTTTAAAAAGTTGTAATATTTAACCTCTTTTTATTCTTAGCCTTGTGGAAAATAGCATAATAAATGGGTTATTTTTCTCAATCTTGATATTTCAGTCTATATTTATCATGGCCTCAGAAGTCCTGAACTTTTACAGTTGGTAAAACTGTAAAACAAAAGAAAAACAAAAGAGTACTTTTTCTTTTTACCTTCAGTGGTCTCTGGGGCTGTACTTGGGCTGAGCGTTTCCAGGCACCTGCCATTTGCATCTTCCTCTGTAAATTGTGTGGTAGGTTCATATTGCAGGATTGCATCCAAATCATGGAAGAACTTCATAGTTTTAGAGCTGTCTCCAGATTTATGGGCATATTTAACTGTTCTATATTCATATTTGAGATTTTTGTACTTAGCCCGGCACTGTTTCCAATCTCTGTATACTCCTAATGATTGCAGCCTTTTAGCAATGTAAATAAATATTCCTTTATTTCTTAGTGTTCCATAAAGTTGTTTTCGTATATTTTTTTCTGCCCAGACACTTAGCAAAGCTTTAACCTCCTCCTTAGTCCAGTGCTTTCCTGCTCCACTCTCCATGTTGAAAATGACCTGGAAATGATTCACTATTTCTAGCCAAGGTTTTGTTTCCTAGGAAACCAGACGGCTGGTTGTCAATAAGCTCCAAAGAGCTGAAAGGATCTAGTTTAACTGGTTCAAGCTGCCTGAGGGAGTAACTTGAGAAACTGCCAAATAAGCAGGCTTTGTGATTAAAGAAGCCTGAACCTAAATGATTCTGAACCATACTCATTTCAGCTTGAAGGAAAAACTACCCTTGAGACAAAAGGGAAAGAAAACCATTTTTTTGTTTATTTCTTTTCTTACATAATTTACTGTTTTAGCAAATGATTGTTGATTTTTAAAAATTGTTTTGAACATGGTTGGCAGGGGTTCTTTTTGCCCAGAGGTTTATAGCCAATGTTAATAATACTCCCTCTGACGTGAATCACTTAGTCTCTAACCTTGGTTAACTTACAGACCCCACAGCATTTCACTAAATAAAAGACATTCTAAGTCACAATTTATTTAGTTCCATATGGTATATAGTATTGTGCACATCTATTTTCAGTATTTAGTGCATTTTAAAAAATCATTTCTTTAGGCTTCTGTGAGCCATGATCATGCCACATTTTTTTAGAGTTTTACTTGGCAAACATGTTTAATGTTCTACTTTTTCGAGTTAATAAAACGCTGCAACAGTTGCAATATATAATTTTGAAAAAGCTTTCTTTTTACCAAATCAATCAATGTATTAACAGCTACTAAAGTCTACAGGCACATGTGGAAGAGGTTTACTTTTTGTTTCAACACTGATACATATTCTTTGGAACAAAAACATTGGTCAATAAACATCTACAATTTATAGCACTTGTTCAGAACTTTTAAAAATTGTAAAGCAGTTGGAACCTTGATAAGAGTATACTGCACAGTGGTGCGGATGCTCTTAGTCTTTACTGTGTCTTGCCCTGCCTTCTGTCTAATTTTGGCTTTTTTCTGTGTATCACCGCTTAAAAACACTAAGGCAGGAAATCAGACACAGACATGGGAAAGGGTGTCAGGTCAGTAGAGGGTTTTCAGAAGCGACATTAATTTTTCTGATAACAAAAGTGCTATTTATTGGAAAACATTTGAAAAATGCAGAAAAGCACAAAAAAAAATGGTTGCAGTTTCAGTACCAACTATGCCTCTATTATATTTGGAGATTTTCATTTACATCTACATACTCATCCTGTTGAAACTGTATTTAGAGGTGAAAAAGTATAGGGGTTAAAAGCCGGAGCTGGATCATCCGAGTTCTAATCCTGGCTGTACCACTGTCTGTGTGACAATGGGAAAGTAACTTCCTTTCTATTGCTTTAGTGTGTTTCTCTATAAAATGGGTGTGGTAATCATAGTACCTACTTCATAAGATTGTTGTGAAAACCAAATCAGATCACTCATGCCATCAACCTAAATAATTAAAAGGATGAGAATCTACTTTAAAGAGAGTTTATTCAAGCACCAAGTTTGAGGATGACCTACCTGGAAACACCAACTGCAAGGAATGGAGTCAGCATTGCCAAGTAGGAAAGTTAAGGTTTCGTTACACAGGTAGAGACAGAGGAGTTTTAGCAAAATCACAACATTTTTCTTTTTCTTTTCTTTTTTCTTTCTTTTTTTTTTTTTGAGACGGAGTTTTGCTATTGTTCCGCAGGCTGGAGTGCAGTGGCGTGATCTCGGCTCACTGCAACCTCCGCCTCCTGGGTTCAGGCAATTCTCCTGCCTCAGCCTCATGAGTAGCTGGGATTACAGGCACGCGCCACCAGGCCCAGCTAATTTTTTGTATTTTTAGTAGAGACAGAGTTTCACCATGTTGACCAGGATGATATCGATCTCTTGACCTTGTGATCCACCTGCCTCGGCCTCCCAAAGTGCTGGGATTACAGGCGTGAGCCACCACGCCCGGCCCACAACATTTTTCATATAAGATTAGTGCACAGTTACAGCAGTTTGACTGGTTATAGGCAGTGTTTCTTTTGGAAAGGGTACCTTTAGTATTTTTTACAGAGGATGTAATTGTGAATGGGTTTTCTTTCATTTGGTCTAACCAAAGCAGCACAACAAAGTAGAAGTTAATCTTTCACAAAGGTCATCAATTGAGAAGGCAGGAGGTTATTGTCTCTGGTGTCTTTTAATTCTCTCTAGTCACTGTGTAGAACAAGAAAAATAAGAAAGTGAGTTAGTCTATAACTCTGAGAAACAAATTGTAACCATATGTGACTCGGATCACAATCGTCTCTCTCTGAAGGCTTAAAATATATTTGGGTTTCCAGCAGCTTTTATTTATTTTTACAACCTGAAATGCTTATAACAGACTACCTGGCATGTTAGAATTAGATAAGATATCTAATTGTTACATTATCATCTGCGATTGCTAATCAGCATCAGCATCAATAGAAGTAGTGCCAGTACAAGTAGCCTTTAATGTGTTGTCACACTAAGTTCATAGATGCTTGTTGAGAAAGTATGCTTGATAAAGTTCTTCAAGAAGCTTATCCATCAGCAGATTTAACAACCAATATCTTTTTATATTCACAGGGGTCAGGAGAGTGCTGGTATTGTGACTAGTGATGGCAGTTCAGTGCCAACATTCAAATCACACAAGGTAAATTTGAACATTAGGAAATGTTGATGACAAAGATAACAAAAGACAGATGATCATTAATATATGGGGAGAGGGGAATTGAATAAATAATCTGAAGTCGAAAGTAATATTCTTTGTATCAGCCACTTTCAACTTTATATCTTAACATTTGTCAAATAGGTTGTATTTCTTTCCCAGTGACAATTTTTTGCCTAAGACCGACTCACTCAAATAGGGAATTATCTATTCAAATGCTTTAAGATACTTTGACTTTTTTAATGCAAATTTTAGTTTTAATACTTGATAAATTTTATTGCTTAGTACATCTGTTCTTAAATGTTTTAGTGAAAAGCCTCTTAGGAAACACAGCACTTCAGTATTGTGAAGATACTAAATGCCACTATTCTCTTAAGAATGGTTAATTTTAGCCTGGCGCGGTGGCTCAAGCCTGTAATCCCAGCACTTTGGGAGGCTGAGGCGGGTGGATCAAGAGGTCAAGAGATCAAGACCAACCTGGTCAACATGGTGAAACCCCGTCTCTACTAAAAATACAAAAAATTAGCTGGGCATGGTGGCACGTGCCTGTAATCCCAGCTACTCAGGAGGCTGAGGCAGGAGAATTGCCTGAACCCAGGAGGCGGAGGTTGTGGTGAGCCGAGATCGCGCCATTGCACTCCAGCCTGGGTAACAAGAGCGAAACTCCATCTCAAAAAAAAAAAAAAAAAAAGAATGGTTAATTTTATGTTACGTTACTTTTGCCTCAATATGATTTTTTTTTTTAAAGTAAGTCCTTCACAGTTCTTGCAGTTAGGTTAAGTTTATTTTTGGCTTTTTTAGTTCAGAATTCTGAAACAGAGAAATTAAATGTACTTCATTATCTTATTTGGATTGGCTGAGCAGAGAAGAGAGGTTTTTATTACTCACTAGCAGTACTAGTCTGTTTTTTTTCTAAGTTGCACTTTTTGATTTCTCAAGGGAATGGGTCTTGTAAATCACGTCTTTACTGAAGACAATTTGAAAAAATTGTATGTTTCAAATCTTGGAATTGGACACACAAGGTATGCCACTACAGGAAAGTGTGAATTAGAAAATTGTCAGCCCTTTGTTGTTGAAACGCTTCATGGGAAGATAGCTGTGGCACATAATGGTGAATTGGTAAATGCTGCTCGATTAAGGAAAAAGGTACGTTGGTTTGTTTTTCCTATGCCTTTTTAAATGATTAGGATGGGTTAAAGAATAAAAGCTGAGGATATTTGTAAAAGGCATTTTCTAATTGTTGCTACCTGTTACTTAACTGCAACAAACAATTGCATCAGAATTATCTGGAGACTTGTTAGAATTCCAGACTGTAAGATATCCTCTAGAGTTGGAGAAAAGGGTGAGAATATGCATTTTAGACTCACTTTTTGAATGCACTGCTTTAGAGGAGAGATTTGGGAGAGTTGATTTATGGTTGAAAGCATAGAGAAATTAGAGTTGATGGACTCCCTATCTCTTTAACTCTGTTGCTGTGTTCAAAACTTGTATGAGATAAGAAAAACCAAGCTGTATTTTTCCTGCTCTCAGACTCAACACAGCACACTTCTGTGACCAAACAAGGGGGTCTCTTACATCAGCCAGTTTTCCAGAGGACACCAAATAGGTATCTTATAATTTGGTTGTATTCTGATAGTACCTGGAGGTAAAGTCTGGTTCCAGAATTTAAGGGCTCAGTCCCACAAGACTGTCCCCTGCTTCAGATGCCAGTTGCAAGTCCAGGCCTCTGGTACATCTGACAGCCAGTTATAAATTGGGAGTTCTGCAACAGCCCCAGCCCTGCCTTTGGCTTCAAACGTCACAAAACTGAAGAAAGTGCTTTATTAACATTTACCAGTTTATTATAAAGGATATTACAGAGGCTACAGAAGAACAGTCCGGTGAAAGGATGGAAAGGGCAGGGTATGTGGGAAGGAGCATGGAGCTTCCATGCCCTTCCCAGGGGCACCACCCTCCAGGCATCTCCAAGTGTTCAGATATCCAGAAGCTCTCTCAACCCAGTCGTTGTGGGTTTTTATAGAGGCTTCATGAAGTAGGCACAATTGATTAAATCATCAGCCAGTGGTGATCAGCTCAACCTTTAGGCCTTCTCCCCTTCCCTGGGGGTCCAGAGATGAAGCTGGAAGTTCCAATCGTCTGCTTGATTCTCCTGGCAACTAGCCCTCATACCGGTGCTATGCAGGAGCCCCTAGCTGCCAGTCATCTCAATAGCATGCAAAAGGACATCTATCATTTTGGCAATTCTAAGGGTTTTGGGAGCTGAGTACCAGGAAAGAGCAGGATAAAAACCAGCATACATATTAATTCTTATATATCACAAAAGCATAAAAATAAAATGGAGTATAAACTTGAAGATGACATGAAAAATATCAATTGGAAA